CACGTACTAGATCAAAGTATCCAAGGCGTTGCAACTGCGACCATCGAACACCATTTTCGACCTCCAGCTGATGCCTTTCTGAGAGTGTACTTGCATCCTTCCACTCCTCAGCATGCAACCTGCTCTCTGCACCACTGCGGATATTCCAATGAGAATAATTGAATCCACGGAAATCAACCTGGTTGCTGCTCCCTAACTGAGTAAACTGCCGGCTGCACCTGTAACAAGCACATGTGCTGTTATGCGCTGTGAATCCACTTGTCTTTCTGGCAGCTGAGATATCACATGCAACCATCAGTAGTGCAGCACGAACACTGACACCATTTGGGAATTCGTGTGTAGGAATCCGCATGCCAACGTACAGCTGCTTCAAATCATCCACCAAGGGCTCCAAGTAACTATTGATCTCGTCAGTTTTTGGCTCCTTTGGACCAGGCATGAGACCTACAAGGATAATATTCTCTGGCTTGAATCTTTCATCACGGGGCAAGTTGTTGATGGCCAGATAGATAGCACCAGAGGAGTGAGTGACACCATCAAAGGGCTGGAACCAGTCGATGTTAAGTGTTAACATTAGTGAGCGTGGGTCCAACACAAATGATACACCATCCTTGTCCTTCAACTCCTTCCACATCGCACCATCATAGACATCGCACAGAGTATCTACCATCTTCAACTCCTTATTCCATTGACAAATCTTGGCTTCGAAACTAGGGCGACGGAAGAAAACGCTCAATGTATTTTTAATGGATTGGTAGACATATTCACGCTTTGCAACCAAGGCACTGGAAGATATGGATTTCGTCAAATTACAGTTGTATGCAGACCTGGCACCAAGTTTTGAGGAAACACATCGAGGAGGAGCAGATATGATATCCTGATATACTGTATGACAGTCTTGGTACACCACAAATTTCTTGATGCCTTTTGTAATAGCAGAAAATCCTGTCATTTTTTGTAAACCGGCAAGACTGGTTGGTAATTGAAAATCTTGGTCGTAGATTCTCAGCAGGTTGTTGATAAACTCAATCAAGACAGCAGCACCCTTATCAACAACATGACGTGAAGCAAACAGTACCATAAAGATGGCTATGAATTGATGGACTTCATTTTTGGGCATATCAGGAGCAGCAAAAGGGTCTGTAAAAAATTAAAAAAAATTAACACTTGATTTTTCTTTTACTCTCTTTTTCTTTTAGTTTTCTTTATATATCTCACACTGACCTTCACTGTTGAAGTCCTCAATCTCGATCTCATTGACTTCATCTTCAATATTGTCATCGAAATCATTGTTGTCTCTGTCATTGTCAAACATTGAGGCGGCATCCAAAAAAGGTGAGTTGGCCTGACCGTCCATTGCTTCCACAGAATCAGAACGAGAGGTCGGGATTACTACAAATATGGAATATAATAGTTTATTAGTTTTTTTTTTCTGCTTTCAAATAAAAAAATTCTTACCCTCAGTATCTACATCCATGTTTCTCATTGCGGCTGTGTTTCATTAAAAGTTTAAAAATAAACAACATAAATAAAAAATAAAAAATAAAAAATTAAAACGATTATTACGCAGCAAACAAAAAACCAACACTGAATATATTATACTATTCTCAAATATTCTGGTACCTTCAACTCTAGCTCTCTTATTACAACGAGTCTCAGTACACTTTGCAGCATAAGAAGATTTCTGATGACTGTTGTGACATTTAATGCAGTGACAGTCTAAGGTGTGGATTTGGGTAGAGGGAAACATATTGTGTATAGCTTGAATTATAAAATAAAAAAGGAAACAAGTACTATAAATACTTTATTTGATGTGATTTTATAGCAAGCCAAAAAAATATGAATTTTTTATTGTCTATCTAAACCAATAGAATACGTCGAAAATACACCCCCAACTTAAATAAAAAAAACGGCTGAGCTGAAAAAAAACCCTGACATTTCCACTACCTTTCTCGTTACTTAAAGCTATAGTATTTTTTTTATTTTTCCAGTGAAAGTAATTTTCTTTTACTTGCAAAAGAATTAGAAAGTACATAGCTTAACAGAAGTAAAATAGAAGCCAAAACAAACATTTATAATGACTGAGTAGAGTTAGAAAAGATATAGAAGAGAAATTTATTTCATCCAATAGAAGTTATTTATCTTTCTATTTTCTTTTACAATTCTCATTGGTTTGACCAATTTTGGCTGTGTTACTGTCAGAGTTGACATTGGTAACTAAAATTGAGATTTACAGGCAACTAGTAATGGTTGACTTTTTAGGATAAAAGATCTTGACTTTGCCGATTGGTCTTTCACATATTTTTTAGATATTTAAGATGGTGAATATACTTGTAGAAGATATTACTGAACAACAAGCATCTAAGACATATTATTATAGCTATTCTTTTAGTCAGAAATCAATTATCATTTTGTATAAATAGTCAAGAAATATAATTAATAAAAACATCTTTATTCTTATCTAAAAATCTATTCTTAAAACTTGACGATTACCAGTGGTATTGATTCTGCGACTTAGTTACAAATGCTAAAAAAGAAATACCAGATCAAGACTTAACAGGAAAAATAACCCAGATGGAAAATGACGACCAAAACACAAAATATATATATATGATTTCTGCCAGACTTGAACTGGCGACCGTCTGTGTGTTAGACAGACGTGATAACCAACTACACCAAGAAACCTGCACAGGGTGGATTCCAACGTCAACGTAGCTCCCTTGATCAAGTTCTTTGTCTCCATGAGATGGTCCGTCGTCACACAGCTCTATTCAAAGCACCACCAGTCTTGGCTTTTCTTGATATCAAGTCTGCATATGACACTGTTGATCGTTCTGTAGTATGGACATCGTTACGTCCTCTTGCCTCTGATGCTATGTTAGCTTTGTTACAAAGTCTTTTTGACAACGTTCAAGTTGAGGTGTTGCTTTCTGGTGCAACATCCAGATCATTCCAACCATTGACTGGCGTTATGCAAGGATCTGTGCTTTCTCCCCACCTTTATTCCGTGTACATAAATTCTCTACCAGTTGCTCTTCGTGCTGCAGGGGAACTTTGTAACACAGTATTTAATCAGACTGCTGCCACAAGACTCAATGATCAATTAGTCAATTCACTACTTTTTGCTGACGATGTTGCCATCATTGCTACACCAGAAGCTATGCCTGTCATTCTGAATTCTGCTGAACAACATTCTCAAGAGCTAGGATATCGTTGGAGTCCCACCAAGTGCATGATCCTTCACCATTCTTGTTCTCTTTCTCCTTTGTCATTCTCTCTCTACAATGTGCCTATTCCTCATGCTCATTCGTTTCCTTACCTTGGTGTTCCCTTCTCAGCAAAGGGGACTATTGATCCATCTCTTCTCATCTCTCGTAATTGTGTCTCTGCTATCAACAGCATGCGTGCTCTTCAATCACTTGGTGTCAATCACACTGGGTTGTCACGTCTACTCTCAATTCGTTTGTACCGCCAGTTTATTCGTCCACAATTTGAGTATGGCCTGGCAATATCCTGCTTCAACATCAAACAAGTTGCTGTGCTTGAAAAGGCCCAGAACACATGCTTACGCATGATTTTTGGAGGTCACTCCACATCTTCTACATCTGTTTTCCGTCACCTTGGGAATCTTCCTAGCATGAGGGAGAGGATCTTGACTCTTGGTTTCAAGTTTGTATATCGTGCTTTCTGGTTGCCTGATGAGGCTCTGTTTACTCTTCTTCGACCTGTTCTTACAAACCCAGCACACCAATGGTTTAAGCTTTTAGCTAATCCCATTTGGTTGTCTCTCTCCAATCGTCAGAATGCTGATTCTAAAGCTTGCAAGCATGCCATTCGTTCATTTTTGAACCAGGGCCTCTCCTTGCAACGCTCTCAACAAATACTTCTCTCTGCTTGCCGTCCTTCTCTTGGTGTTGACCCTATTCTCTGGCTTCCCATGACTAACTATGAACGTAGTAGATTCATACGTTGGCGTATGGGGTGGCTTCCTGGACGTCCTCAACCTTGTTCCTGTGGATTGCATACCACCAGCCGTCATCATGTCATTGAGTGCACTGGAGCTGCAATTCGTCTCCATCTCTATTCTACAGTACAACCCAATCCAATTGATTATGTACTCAATATGCTGCCTCTGAAGACACCTAAAAACAACAAGAACAATGCCTTCTGGATCTTTACTTGGCCAATTCTTTGTAGAATAATGTTGGACATAGAACAGATCTGTCTCCCTGGGGTTGATCTTGCTGATCATGCTGCAACAGACAGAGGACAACTCTTCTTGAACTGGCTACCCAAATGAGACTGGCCATCTCCTTTTATTTTTAGTCTAGATCTGTATTAGTCTTAGTTTCCATTTATTGCATGAATTTCATGCATGCTTCATATTTTATCCTTATCTCCCTTTTTTTGTATCCCCTAGCTTAGTTTCCCTTTCTAGTTTTTCCCATTTTCCCCCTTGGGTTTTTTTCCTTTCTATTATTCTTTTTTGTACTCTTAAAGGCGGGCAATAGCTCTATAGTGCGTGTGCCCACTAGCCTTTCAATAAAAATCTTTTACCTACACCAAGAAACCACACACTCTCTTCCACAACCAAATTATTTTTTGAATTCAAACCCAGCACAGTTTTACTTTTACCTCTTTTTCTCTATAACTACTATATCAAACCTATCTGTTTTTTGCAGCAGGATTGATTGTCATAGTTGTTTTTATATATCTACCAATTTTCATTTTTTTTTAATTGACTTTTTTTCAAATTGTTGGAATCATCATTGCAATCATCTTCACATCTGCGCCGAAATCACTCAAGATTGTCAGCATCTCCAACTACATCTCAATTGCCTGTACCTCTGTTATCGTCTCCAGCTCTTTTCTCCTTCTCTGAAGGTGGTTCTGGTGTTTTACCATCAACTTCGCACTTTTTTGTCCCAGTTTCAGACCTTTCTTTTTCTGCTTTGCCTGCTCCTGGTTCCCACGAAATTTTTTTTCAAGCTCCTCCAACAATGATTGGTTCCCAAAAACAGGTGATTAATTCCACTGGCCGCCCTACTCCCACTGCTCTCATTTTGTCTGGCCTCAAGGCAGACTTTAAAAAATTGCACAATGTTTTGTTCTGTTCACATTGCCAGACTACAGGCAAAATTGTTTCTAATGGGTCTACTTCTCGTACTGGTAGCCCACAGTTTAAATGCAAATGTGGTGCAACATTTACTGCTTCATCCATGCAATCTTTGATCAATGCAGTCCAACACAAAATTCCTGAAGTTCGTTCTGCAAGTAAGCCTGTTGTGTCCCCTTCTGTTTCCATCTTGGGTCATAGTATTTCCATGGCAGATATCCATGAAATTGAATCTGATGTTGCACCTGTTCTTCCAACTGTAATGCCCACTCTTCAGGATATTTGGGACCGTTTCCAGGCTTATGATGAACGTCTTTCTGCATTGGAGGCTGTTCAAAAAGAGAATATTGAGTTGCGTAAGGCTCTTGCTACTGCAAACGCCACTATTGCACGTTTGACAAAGGAGAATGTTGATTTTTCTGTTGGTGCTGCAGCATCCAAATATGCTACTATTGCTGCCTCTGTTCCAGTTGTTTCTCAGGCTGATTTTCCATCACTTCCTGCATCCCCGACCCATCATTCCACTGAACCCACCAAGACTTTCGTTTCTAAAACACCACGTAAAAGGGCTCCAACTGCTAGGGCCATTGCTGCTGTTGTTCGTGGCATGACAATTAAAGAAAATGCTGATCAGGGGTTTCAAATTGTTTATGTACCTAATGCTATCTGTCTCCCCATTAGTACTCAACGTCAACGTCTTAGGAAATTAAAGATAGACAATGCACGTGTGCTGGATCTCCACTATCCTGATTGTAAGGTGATGGGAATGCTTGTACATAATGAGTATGCTCCTGAGCTCAAGACTATCTTGGCGAGTTATGGTGTTACTACTTTGGATAACTTTAATCCTCTGGACCCTGTTCACCTCCGTGACCCAGCTCTGGCCTCTCTTTCACTTGATGATAGGGCAACAAAAGCTATACATGTTCACAATGATCGTATGCTACGTGCCATTGAATTCATTAGGGCTCCTGTCAAGTTTGCTGTTGCACGTTCCTTTTGCTCTCAGGGATGGATTAGTGATGACCAACTAGCTGAGATTGTTCCCCCACGACCCACCAAAAAAGACTTGGACATCTCTATACATACTGCCAGCATCACCATCCCTTCATTCTCTGATCTATGAATCCAGTAACAATTACATTATGGAATGCAAATGGTCTTGCAAAACAGACCATACCTACGATCCTTTCATATGCTCCACTTACTTCCCTTCTTTTTATCACTGAAACGTGGCTTTTGTCCCCCCATCGTTATCCTACTTCTTGGCAGCAGTACCATACCTATGGTCAGTCTGTCCCCAATGCTAGCCGTGGCTGCATGGGTATTTCTCTTCTTGTAAATCCTTCTTTCCCTTACCCCATTTCTATTGTTCCTTCTTCTTCTCCTTATGTTCTTTCTTGTATTGTCTTTGATTGTCTTATTCATTGCATTTATCTTCCCCCTTCTCTTTCTAATGACGATGCAATTTCTATTCTTTATGACCTCCCCCTCTCTTCTTCTTCTATTCCTTCTTCTAACACTATTTTTTGTGGTGATTTTAATTCACATATGGGATCCTTTCTTGGTGACCATGCTATCACTTCGCGAGGAACTTCTTTTCTTCAGTGGATCCAGGCAACTGGTCTCACTTGTTGGAATGAATTACTTGCATTTGGTATTCCTACCTTTCTTTCTGGTGGCTCTGGTACCTCACGTTCCAGTGTCATTGATTTATTTCTTTCTACATTCCCCATTTTCAATCCTTCTATGCAAATTCGTTCTGATCTTTCTTTAGGCTCTGATCACAAAATGGTCAACCTCACTTTCACTCCCTATGTTTCACCTCCCCCTCCCCCTACTAACCATCCGCGCCTACTTTGGAATCTTTCTGGGCTTGCTCAGCCTGACACTCTCAAGATCTACATTGATACAGCTTCTGGGTCATTGGACAATCTGACAGAGCAGTTCAGTGCTTTCCTTTCTTCTTCTTCTCCTCCTCCTGTAGATTCTCTGTGCTCTGCTTTTGCTCAAGCTATCTATGATGCTCTGGACACTGCTGTTGGTCGTCGTACACCACGTACCATGCAAAAGTACTGGTTCTGGTCAGTGGACCTTCAAGAAGCAATGGATCTGAGAGAACGCAGCTACCAACGCTGGCGTCATTCTAGTGGTTTGCAGAAGGCTATATGCTGGATGCGCCATCAGGATGCATGTCATGCTGTTAGGTTATCAGTCCAGCGTTGTCGACATGAAACATGGAAAGAATTCTGCAACAAATTGGCAACACAAGACTTTGCAAAGACAACAGCAACAATGAAACGTATTAAAAGCCATCGTCAAACCAGTCCTGTCTTTGTGGATCCTGGTGGACCTCAAGTAGCTGCTAACAAAATGGCTGATCATCTTCAACAGATTTTCTCAGGTCAATTTCTTCCTGCACGCCGCCCTCCAGACCAGACAGTGATGATTTCATCACCAATTGCAATTGATGAATCATGTCCTTTTACTCATCTTTCTGTAGAGAGTGCAATTTTCAAGCTTCCTACACGCAAGACTCCTGGTGTTGACAATCTTCGTGCTGAAATGCTTCACCCAATTGTTAAGCAAGTCTCTCCTGTTCTTTGTCTTTTGTTCCAGCTTTGTTGGCAATGGGGTTCTGCACCTCTTGCATGGCGTACTGCACAAGTTGTCCCCATCTTTAAAAAGGGTGATACTCATGACCCTGCTAACTATCGTCCCATTAGCTTAACGTCTATCCTGAGAAAAGCCATGGAATATTGTCTACAGTTTCCTCTTGAAGATGTGTCTCCAACAATTGACATTGCACAGGGTGGATTCCAACGTCAACATAGCTCCCTTGATCAAGTTCTTTGTCTCCATGAGATGGTCCTGTGGTATTTCAGGTACGAAACAATAGAAAAATAAAATATTTGATAATAGAGACGTATAGAAATACTTTGAGACTGTATATAAGTTGTCTTTATTCATAAATAGAAAGTGTCCCTTTTTATAAGAAAACACAATCTGCTCTTGTCATTACATCTTAGTTTCTTAAGGCTTTCTTCCTTTACTATATTTGGTTATTAGAGTGTATTTACTGCTTAACTAGTGTCGGTGTTACAATTATGACATCAAGTCATAAATCGTACTTCTTTAGCTCTTAGCTATTCTTTTCTCTTTTATACTAGAGCTTTAGGACTTCCTACTAAATTAGCTACATATCGATCTGACACAGTTTACCCGGCAGTATGATATAATTATCTTAACAATCTTTAAGATATTATCTACAGTACTAACTGTAATAATTATTGGGCTGATTACTTAATCGTTTATATATATTTTATACTGACAAGATGATAGCTACTATGCTATCCCAATATGAATATGTTCTTATATGTGATAAATCCAACATCCGAGTGTCTGGATCACCACAGGTCCGTCGTCACACAGCTCAATTCAAAGCACCACCAGTCTTGGCTTTTCTTGATATCAAGTCTGCATATGACACTGTTGATCGTTCTGTAGTATGGACATCATTACGTCCTCTTGCCTCTGATGCTATGTTAGCTTTGTTACAAAGTCTTTTTGACAATGTTCAAGTTGAGGTGTTGCTTTCTGGTGTAACATCCAGATCATTCCAACCATTGACTGGCGTTATGCAAGGATCTGTGCTTTCTCCCCACCTTTATTCTGTGTACATAAATTCTCTACCAGTTGCTCTTCGTGCTGCAGGGGAACTTTGTAACACAGTATTTAACCAGACTGCTGCCACAAGACTCAATGATCAATTAGTCAATTCACTACTTTTTGCTGACGATGTTGCCATCATTGCTACACCAGAAGCTATGCCTGTCATTCTGAATTCTGCTGAACAACATTCTCAAGAGCTAGGATATTGTTGGAGTCCCACCAAGTGCATGATCCTTCACCATTCTTGTTCTCTTTCTCCTTTGTCATTCTCTCTCTACAATGTGCCTATTCCTCATGCTCATTCGTTTCCTTACCTTGGTGTTCCCTTCTCAGCAAAGGGGACTATTGATCCATCTCTTCTCATCTCTCGTAATTGTGTCTCTGCTATCAACAGCATGCGTGCTCTTCAATCACTTGGTGTCAATCACACTGGGTTGTCACGTCTACTCTCAATTCGTTTGTATTGCCAGTTTATTCATCCACAATTTGAGTATGGCCTGGCAATATCCTGCTTCAACATTAAACAAGTTGCTGTGCTTGAAAAGGCCCAGAACACATGCTTACACATGATTTTTGGAGGTCACTCCACATCTTCTACATCTGTTTTCCGTCACCTTGGGAATCTTCCTAGCATGAGGGAGAGGATCTTGACTCTTGGTTTCAAGTTTGTATATTGTGCTTTCTGGTTGCCTGATGAGACTCTGTTTACTCTTCTTCGACCTGTTCTTACAAACCCAGCACACCAATGGTTTAAGCTTTTAGCTAATCCCATTTGGTTGTCTCTCTCCAATCGTCAGAATGCTGATTCTAAAGCTTGCAAGCATGCCATTCGTTCATTTTTGAACCAGGGCCTCTCCTTGCAACGCTCTCAACAAATACTTCTCTCTGCTTGCCATCCTTCTCTTGGTGTTGACCCTATTCTCTGGCTTCCCATGACTAACTATGAACGTAGTAGATTCATACGTTGGCGTATGGGGTGGCTTCCTGGACGTCCTCAACCTTGTTCCTGTGGATTGCATACCACCAGCCGTCATCATGTCATTGAGTGCACTGGAGCTGCAATTCCACTGCAAAAGACCGCTGATTTTAGTTCCTGAAAACCTGCAAAAATTTTACTACAATTTTCGATTTTTAATTTTTTCAAATAATTTCTATTTTTTTCTGTTGTGATTTCAGATCGCTCTTTTTTAGCTGTAAAATCACACTACCATCATTTTTTTGGCCATAAAATTACAAAATTGGGTTTTTTTTTATATTATACACTTCTTTGATATAATTCTAAATTACATTGAAAAAACACTTATACAAAAGTTAATATAATATTTAATAAAAATTATATATATTCTTAAGGTTTCACTTTTTCTATTTCAAAATAAATCATTTAAATATTTTTTATGTATTATAAATGTGAATATAAAAACAAATATTTAATCCATATATTTCAAGGGAACGAGACAAAAGGTTGTGATTTCATTTTTACTGTGGCAATATTTTTGCGTGATTTTTCCCTTTGATATATGGAACTAAAATATCAGATTTTTTTATTTCACATGTTGTGAGAGGCGAATGTTCCATTTTTGGATTATTTTTTGTCATGGTCGAATCATCGTCATATCAAATATTATAATTCTAAAAAAAGACTTTTAAAAAAAATTGCGTACACTTTTAGTAATGTACGCAGTATTTGACTTGGTTAATGACTTAACAATATATGAGTATAATTATGATGATATGTGCGGTAGATGTATCAAGGAATTACTTGGCATACTATAGTCATGGCATGGAGCAGTATTTTATCTATTTATAATTTTTTTTTTGGTATATAAAGACCTTGATCAAGATCTCTTAAAATCTATATTATTTTTTTTATAATTTAAAACAATCGACATGTCCAATAATCAAAAGAAAGACAGTTATGTTATCTGCAAATGTCCAGACTGTACAAAGTTGGATAGCTGTGGAAAGAAACAGAAAAGACAAAATGCACAACGACACTATGAGAAACATATAGTGCCTGTTGCCAAAGACGATGCAATGGGTAAATAACAAGAATAACTCGAGCTGTACATGTAAAATTAATATAAATTAATTCATAAAATAGATGTTCCTGAAGAACATTTTGACGACATGGAAGTAGATAGTATTGACAGTGACAATGACAATGATTATGATTACGAGAACGAAGGCGAAGGCGAATATGAAGACGAAAATGAAGAACAAAACATTGAATTTGATCAAGAAGGTAAGAAAATAAAATAAAATAAATGAACAAAATAATAATTGAAACTGATATATATATTTTTTATTTTTTATTTTTTATATGATTATAATTGTAATTATATTTTTATTTCTACATCTTTACAACAATTATTCCTTTCCAGTTGACTTACCTTTGTCCCAAGAAGAGTCCATCTTTACTGCCGAAGATACAATTACAGGAGCATTTGTGGTTGATGGCGATGAGATTGAAGAAGGCGATACCGGTTTTGATTTTGAACAAGAAGAAAACTTTGATGAGACCAGTGGGACCTCGATAGTAGAATCAGGTATGAATTAATACGGTATAGACAATTAATCAGTATATTAATTTAAACTAACTTAACCTTTGTCTTCATAGTTCGTCCTTCGTCTTTTGATAACATGCCCTTGTATATCCGCTTTGTTGCAGTATTCATTGTCATATTTCACTTGATCTTTTTGGTGGAAAGCGGTGGATCGATTCTCATTGAATTTTGTAATACTCTACTGTCTCTCTGTGATATGTCTGGCGCCCTTCCAATGACGATCAATAGCTTGAAGCATAAGACAGGATTTAACATGGCAACAGACGGAATGACAGTATACATTGCATGCTCACAATGTCATTCGATTTATCCTCCGGAAACAAGTCAAAGAGTCTGTACATTTAAGAAATTCTCTCAATCCGCCATTTGCAACAACAATCTCTTTAAAGTGTCAACCGGAAATCGTTCTCTTCCAGCAATGGTATATCCATTCAACTCTCTGAAGTACGCCTTGCAACAAAAATTCTCCAAGCCAGATTTCGTGTCCAAGATCAATTTGTGGAGAAGTCGTCAAATAATTGAAAACACCAAACTTGACATTTTCGATGGTGCAGTTTGGAGTGATATTAAAGACATCAATGGCAGACGGTTTGTTGATGATAGCCGATCTTTAATGTTGACTCTGAATATCGATTGGTTTCAGCCATTTGATGGACGAACACATTCCAGTGGTGCGATATATCTCTCTATCAACAATCTCCCACGGAGTGAACGCCTTAAGTCTGAAAATGTCATTCTTGTTGGTATGATGCCTGGGCCGAAGGAAGCAAGCACTGACAGCATGAATCATTACTTGAAGCCGCTCGTTGACGAATTGTTGGAGATGTACATTGGTGTAGAAATGACAGACTCACAAAATAGAAAGATTGTTGTTCGTGCTGCATTGATGTGTGTTGCCTGTGATATCCCTGCCGCTCGCAAAACCTCTGGATTTACTGGCCACATGAGCACATGCGCCTGTCACAAATGTCAACGACAATTCACGACTATAAAGAAGACCAGCAAGCTTGACTACTCTGGATTCAAGTATAGCAATTGGGTGAGACGCACGAAGACAATGAATCTGGAACACGCTGTCAGCTGGGCAAATGCATTGAACAATACTGAGCAAACACGCCTAGAAAAAGAAAACAGCACTCGGTGGTCAGAGCTTCATTGGTTATCTTACTTTGACCCAGTCCGCTTTACAGTTATAGACCCGATGCATAACCTCTATCTTGGAACTGCAAAGCGAATGATTCAGATATGGCGCGAGTGTAACTACATCAATGAAAAGAATCAGTTAACTATGCAAGAGCTTGCCAATGGTATTGTTGTACCTTGTGGATATGCGCGTATAACAAAGAAGATTGCCGATGGGTTTTCGTTCATGAAAGCTGACGAGTGGAAGTCGTGGTGCGTCATATACTCTCCATTTGTTCTGAAGCATGTGCTCCCAGCCAAGAATCTCGAAAACTGGATTTTGTTTGTTGACGCATGCCGCTTACTCACAAAACCTTCGATCAATGACAAAGAAATAGACGAAGCCCACAGTAAACTCCAATTGTTTTGTACAAGATTTCAGACACTGTATGGAAAATCGGCCGTGACACCAAATATGCATCTACATCTTCATCTTGGCGAGTGTGTTCATGACTTTGGGCCAATTTATGCTTTCTGGTTATTCAGTTTCGAGAGATACAATGGTTTGTTGAAGAATATCGAAACAAATCAAAAAGGCGGCTTCGAATCAACAATGATGAAGAGATTTTTGGAGAGAACATACATTGGCAGCTTCATACAATCTTTCGTCAACCATCTTCCCCAGTTCGCAATTGACTTTCTGCATCGCATTTCAAATAGTCAAGATCAATTAGCAGCATTGCATCCATCTTCTACTGCCAGTACCTTTTCTCTGTCTGACTTTGTTGAATATTCGTTAAACCCTCGTCATTCTGCTTTGGGTTGTGAGCCGTTGCCCCCTTCAGTGTTTCCGATTAAACTCGACCAAAGGATTACAATGTGCAAGGGACATTATGAATGTTTACTGGAGTTTTACAGACACGCGTATGGCAGTCACGATCTTTTTGGCCATTATTCAAACTGCGAGTCTAACCAGATTTTTGTCAATAACCGAATTGAGAAAATGAAACGGATATCTCTTCTTGGACAGGAATACTCTTCTGGATCTTATTTCCGCGCCTATTATCTTGAGAATAACAGTGAAGATAAAGCAGCGTTTCCTGGCCGTATACTGTATTTATTTCAACATTTGATAACCATCAACGAAACTGTCATCACCCATACTTTTGCGTTTGTTGAGTGGTACTCTAGTTATTCTTCGGGGAGTTACCAGCCAATGTTAAATGAAGGCATTGAGCTCTGGAATGAACCTTCTTCTGTACTTAATTATGAATGTATTATTCCAGTACATCGTTTATATTCACCAATCGCAATTGCTAAATATAGGTTTACTATAACTAGTGAATTTAAACGTTTAGTAATCCCTTTACCCCAAAAAATAGAAGCTTAAATAATATTAATAAAATACCACTTTGCACTCTTTTATCAATTTATTAGAAAATGTTTGATTTATTGTCTTATTGTTTCTTTGACCATGATGGCAGCTTGTTTGCCTTGGTCTTACTAAGCTGCTTATCTCTTATTCCTTTAAATTTATGCTCGAATGGACGGGTATTATTTTTCTTATCATGAGCTGCCTCATAATCCGCATCAAGTTCATCAACGAACCTATCTCCCTATATGTCAATGTAAGTATTATTACACACCATCCAAAAAAATAGTTTTTTGTACTATACCTCTTCGCTTCTCCAGCTTGGGCGGAATCTCCAAAAAAAACTCTTTTCTGAGGACGAATCCTGTTCCTCTTCTTCTCTTTCGTCATCACTCTCAAGGTCTGACATGTAATCAGCATGGAGAATACTGTCAACATTCTCTCCAAAGCTGTTCACAAAGTGTGCCCGATTGGCTTTCAAGGCAGATTGTCTTCTTTCACACGACTATATATAAATATATAATATTTCTAATTTAATATCACATCTAGTATATTGTGTGCGTGTGTTTTTTACCTTTACACGTCGCTGACGAAGACAGGCCCGTCGATTCTCTTCCTGCTTCTTTTCTCCTGTTTTTTTTTCTTGCAACTTTCTGTTGCCAATGTGCCGCACAATCTTAGTTCGAAGAGTTGGCAAGTCCACCTTTTTCCCCTCTTCTTGACGACGAAGGTAATCGGTAACAGACTTCAGAACGAGTCTGTTTCCCTCACTGTTTTTATTTTCATTGGTATTGTATTGGTCATATAATTTCTCTTCACTCAAATAATCGCGCAACAATTGCTATAATATAAATGTATATTAAATTCTATCTACATAAAAACATATTATGATTACTTACATCCAATGTTGGTTGACGTCCAGGCGACATGTCTTGCTCAACTGCATTACTAGCAGTGGCTTCGGCTTTCTCAGAAGATGTGTTCTTCAAAACAGTGTTTAAGACACCATTCATGGTATCAAGTTTCTCGTACACATCATGGATGTTACGAGTTCTACCCAACGAATCACCTTCAAGATTCAACCGAGCTCTCTTTGGTGCTAGTGGTCTTTGATTGCTCACTGTTCCCTGTGAGTGTTGCAACATTATCGTCCTTATATCATTGGTATTTCTTGGTGGGCTTTTTTTTGATTTTTATAAAAAACGAAAATAAAATTAATATAAGAAAATTGAAGACTGCCTGGTTTTAATCTACCTTCCCACAGAAGGTTCTTCACCAAAAGCATTGTTAACTGAATTGTTATTGAGATTTCTTGACATTGTGAATAATAAGAATAGCTTGTTTTTTTTTAAATCCAAAGGGTCTATTTATATTATGTTTAATTTGGGCTTTAAGTTTTATTCTTTCTCAGAGAACACCATGATCTATTACGTAACAAGAACAGCTTTGAATGTTTCCACTCTTGTTGTGAGTATTTTATGTGTTTCTTTAATTTAATTTTCAATCCATGTTTTATTCTTATATTATGTATTAGTATTTGAATAATATGATTTTATACTATACTCTGTTTTTCATATGTATTAGCTGCTGGCATAGTGCAACTGCGTTTTCTTTCAATTCTAAGTTACAGACAAAAATTATTTTTTGATTTATTTATTTTTAAAAAAAAACCCCGAATTCGTATTTAATAGAATAACCGCGCCCCTCTTTTTTATTTTCTCTTTCTTTAACCTGCTCTTCTCATTTTGTCTCTTTTTATATGTCTTGGTAAGCTTACTCTTAAGATCTCAACTTTTATTAATACTTTTGGCTTTTAGAATCATCTTAATATATATTAGATAAACAATACACTCAACAAGCATTCAAAACAGCACAGGTAATAAACAATCTCCTAACCAAAATGAAACACCTTGCTGACTAAATATCTTTTATTTTTAAAATGATAGGGCTTCTACCCATTTTGTAATAAAAGATGTTTTGCTCTTGACACTATATACTTTCTGATATTTTCAGTCTATGAAAAGGTAATATATATATAACTCAACTTAAATAATGTAACTTATCAATTCTTCTTCTCAGATAAATATGTCACGCCTTTTTTTCAAGTCATACTGGTTTGCCCCCTTTTGCAAACGCGTGTCTATAATATGTAAGTAATTCAAGTGTCTTTACAATCAAAGCGTACATATTAATAAAGTTGTTTATTTTATTTCTTGCTTTTTATTTAAAAGAAAATATCAATCAAACGGATTTTTATTCTATCGCGAGATTTGTTATGAACCTCCATAAATGATCTAGTAAGTATGTTATTTCATTTTATTTCATAAAGAAACCTATATTAATACTTCTGTATCTTTTTTTGCTCTAAGCTAATGTAGTTCCAAACAAATGTATTCTCCAAGAAAATACCAAGGATTTCATTTTCAGTTAAAGAAGTGTAAAACCAAAAAACGCGCCGAATACATGAAACCGATAAGGTAGGGAAGTATAGTATAAGTTAGGTCATCCAATGTATTCAAGCCGTCCAATAAATGAAAGTATAACATGTATACAAGTCGTACTATTCGGATACATACTTTTAAAGAAGTATTAGTGGTCCATATTAAATAGTTAAATATATTTTCCAACCATTCAAAAATCAATAAAAACCATTTTTTCCATGAGATTCTATTTCAAATGCGTCATCTCTTGATGATGTCAACAAGATCTATTTAAGTTTTTTTTTACAATCATTCATTTGAATGCTGGTTCCTGTCAGATTTCAGACTGATTCTAGGTCGATTTTAGTGAGGTCTATCCAATAATATCATGTAATTAAAGCAAATAAAATTTTTTAAGAGGTAGAGAGTTCAAAGCCAATTCCATAACAAGTAGGGTTTAGGTACGGTTTGAAGTTATGGGTGAATATATAACCAGAATTACAGACAATTATAACATTTCAAGAAAAGGGGGAATTATAACTCTCAATTTATCTATTGATTTTAGTATCTATAATCTCATCATTTGGTTAACTAAATGAACCAATTTTTGTAACAAATACCGAACTATAATTGAACATAAACCACCGATTTTTGGAGGATTTAAACAAAAATTAAGCTACTTAAATCGGTTGTCTTTTGCAGTGCAAACCACTGAAGGAATCCACCATCCGGTATCCCTCACCAGTAATTGGCAAACGCTAAAAATGCCTACAGCACATATGTTAAAAGAGAAAAGCCGCAATAGCTCAGCTGGGAGAGCGTTAGACTGAAGATCTAAAGGTCGTGTGTTCAATCCACACTTGTGGCATTTTTGTAGTCGTGACGTATCCGAAATCTTGTCAACCTGTTGTAATAAAGATTAGACAGAATTCCATTTTGAGAATGACAACCAAAGTGATTTCCTTTTGCTCACATGTCAGAGTTGACATCGGTGACCAAAATCGGAAGTTACAAGCAACCAGTAACGGTTGACTTTTTAGGATGAAAGATCTTGACTTTGCCAATTGGTCTTTTATCTATGTTTTAGATGTTAGAGATGAGGAATATACTTGCAGAGATATTACTGGATAACCACCATCTAAGACATATTATCGTAGCTATTCTTTTAGCCAGAAAACAACAATCATTTTGTATAAATAGTCAAGAATTACATTTAATAAAAATCATCTTGTCAGACATTATTTTGATGAATCCGAGAAATCGGAATAATTGACTGCAGCAGTTCTGTGTGTCAAAGATACCTCATAGATAACAAACCGCAGTAATGTCTTGTAAAGATTAACCACAGTAACATCTTCTGAGCATCAACCGCAGTACACTGCAAAAACACCTTAAAATAATTGAATTCCACTTACCTGGAATTATCGATAATAGTAGCCAAAAAATTACAACCCAGGTCATTTCCTGTGTTTAGCAGCGAGAATATATTTAAAGACATATCATTGGCCTAATATATATCAGAGTCTCTGAGAGAATTTTTTCAAAATAATAAAGATAATTATAATAAGCAACGGCTGTTACACACTTCCTTTATTATTAAAAAAAATTAAGTGAAAAAATGTTTTCCATTGCCAATCCTAATGAAGTTCGTTGCAAATGCACAAGATGCAATCGCAATCCTCTTGGATACACCATGACAGATAAAAGAACTGCCAAGTGTCATGCCCAGAATGATAATGACAGGAATATAGATAAAACCATTAATGGTAAATTAAGTTATCAATTTTTCATTTATTTATATGATGTATTCTTGTGGTATTTCAGGTACAAAACAATAGAAAAATAAAATATTTGATAATAGAGACATATAGAAATACTTTGAGACTGTATATAAGTTTTTTTTATTCATAAATAAAAAGTGTCCCTTTTTATAAGAAAACACAATCTGCTCTTGTCATTACGTCTTAGTTTCTTAAGGCTTTCTTCCTTTACTATATTTGGTTATTAGAGTGTATTTACTGCTTAACTAGTGTCGGTGTTACAATTATGACATCAAGTCATAAATTGTACTTCTTTAGCTCTTAGCTATTCTTTTCTCTTTTATACTAGAGCTTTAGGACTTCCTACTAAATTAGCTCCATATCGATCTGACACAGTTTACCCGGCAGTATGATATAATTATCTTAACAATCTTTAAGATATTATCTACAGTACTAACTGTAATAATTATTGGGCTGATTACTTAATCATTTATATATATTTTATACTGACAAGATGATAGCTACTACACTATCCCAATATGAATATGTTCTTATATATGTGATAAATCCAACATCCGAGTGTCTGGATCACCACAATTCTAATCCATTAGAACAAATAGTTTTGACAGCCAAAGTAAACACTGGTAAAGCTGATATGGACGTAGATCAAATTGAAGAACATATTGAATGTAATAGTATTTTATTTTTTATCCCCAATGCGCACTCTATTTAAACTTGGTACCAATAGATGATAATTACTCCATTGGTGCACCCTCACCAGAGCAGTATGTCAATACCCACTTACCTCTTTCAGTGGAAGAATCTCTTTTTGAAACAGAGGAGTATACCTCAGAGTATGAGTCTGAATATGAGTCGTCGGATGAATTTGAGCAAGAAGAACAGAACAGAGAGCAAGAACAGGGTAAATATTAAAAATAAACTATGATTGAAGAAAAAAGGTTTGAATTAAAGAAACAAAGAATTAATATTATTTTATGATAACTTACAGAGTCTACAGAAAACCTTCCAGAGAATATTTGGCATCGAGTAATTGCGGTTTTCACTGTGATATTTATTTCTAGCTTCATTGTGGATGAAGGCGCAGTAATTTTGATTACATTCATAAATACAATCCTCGAACATTATGGAGAGGATTTCCGACTTCCCACAAGCATTCCAGGTTTGAGGAAAATGACAGGATACAATGACTTGACAAACGGCGTATCAAAATATGTAGCATGCAGTAATTGTCACACATTGTACGATTACAGCAACAACACACATACATTCTGCAATTTCAAAAGAGTTGGTAGTAAGACGCATTGTAAGAATGATCTCTACAAGTCTAGTATGAAGAACGTCATGATTCCAAAGTGCACATTTGTTTATAACTCATTGACAACTACCTTGAAAAAAATGTTTACACGTCCTTCTTTTGAGAGTATGATCAACAGATGGAATCGTAAACCAAAAGTCGACGGTACTTTATTCGATGTATATGATGGAAAGATGTGGAACGAATTAGTGGATGAGGATGGTGTCCAGTTTATTTCGAAGAAACAATCATTACTATTGACACTGAACATTGATTGGTTTCAACCATTTGATGGAATAACATATTCTTGTGGTGCGATATACCTGACAATTAACAATCTGCTGAGAGAAGAGCGGAACAAGGCAGAAAATGGCATTCTTGTTGGATTGATGCCTGGACCTAAAGAAGCAAGCACCGACAAGATCAATAACTATTTGTGTCCTCTTGTTGATGAACTTAGACTATTGTATAAAGGTATCACAATTGATACATATAACTGCTCAGGTGCTCTGGTGCATGCTGCTCTGTTGATGGTTGCATGCGACATCCCTGCTGCAAGAAAGACATGTGGGTTTACATCTCACAACAGCACATGTGCATGCTACAAATGCAATCATCAGTTTGCTCGTGTTGATGGGACCACTGCTGTAAATTATTTTGGGCTTAAGTTTTCGGAATGGGTAGGCCGCACAAAAGAAGAAAATCGCAGACATGCAAACCTGTGGAAGAATGCAAAGACATTGACAGAGAGAAAGCGATTGGAGATTGAGAATGGTGTTCGTTGGTCTGAGCTTCATCGACTTGTGTACTTTGAGCCAGTGCATGCAACCATTATCAATCTCATGCACAACCTTTTTCTTGGGACTGCAAAACGAATGATGGATATTTGGATTACAAACAATTTGCTTGATGACAAAGATTTTGTAGAGATGCAGGAAGAGGCTAATAGAATGGTACTCCCTGTAGAGTATACGACTCTGAAGATAAAGATTGGAAAGAAATTTCCGTTTATGAAGGCAGATGAGTGGAAATCATGGTGCCTGATATACTCTCCTGTTCTGCTTAAGACACGCCTGCGAGATGATCTGCTTGGCAATTGGATCCATTTTGTCGATGCATGCAGAGAATTGACGAAGCCAAGTATCACCAAAAATGGGATCAAAAAAGCTCACGAAAGTTTGGAGGAGTTCTGTGTTGGTTGTGAAGACTTTTATAAACCAGATGTATTCACGCAAAACATGCATCTCCATCTCTATCTAAAAGAAACGATTGAAGACTTTGGGCCAATTTACAGATTTTGGCTATTTAGCTTTGAGCGCTATAATGGTGTATTGAAAGGGTTTGAGACAAACCAGAAGAGTGGGTTCGAGAATACCTACATGAAAAGGTTTCTTGGGAGTTCTTACAATGGTGACTTTTGTCAAGCGCATCTCAGAAATGTTACCAGCCCTTTACTCCTCTCTCTCTTTCTCAAGCTGTCTGGCCGTAAAATCTATAATCCTGCACTTTCGCCACATCCTTTGATACCGTCATTCTTTCACTTACCAACGTTCCTACAATCTGCTGAAAAGCCTTCAAAGCAAACATTTGGCAACGAACCTCTACCTCTTTCCGCTCTACCATTGTGTTCGAAGCCACCAACAACAATGAGAAAATCCAAGTATGATTGTCTGCTCGATTTCTATAAAATTGAGTATGACGATGATTCTCTTTGCAGTGCCAAGACAACAATCAGGAATTGTTGGTTTGTGAATGACCGAATCCAGAAGATTTTGTCCATCAATCTTCTTGGACAAGTTTACACAGGTGGAGAAGGCTTGGTTGTGAGAGGATCACATATACAAGCAAAATTTATTGAAAAAAGTAGAGACTCTGAGGAAAGATATGCTGGTTGTATTAAGTACTTGTTCTTGCACGATTTTACACCAAACCTCACGCACACCAACCTTTCCCCTTGTCACAACCCCCAACACGTATTTGCCTTCGTTGAGTAGTACAAAATTCCTTGCCATCAACCTAGAATCAAGCAGGGCATCGAGTTATATGAGCCAGAATTTCTGAAGTATGACTATGATAACATTCTGCCTGTCCACCGCATCTTGTCGCCAATTGCAATTGGAAGTCATGTGTCTGGTAGTGGTGCAGCAAAAGTCGTTGTTATTCCTCTGCCAAGAAAGCTGTACGCTTAATAAAATACTCTATCTTTTTTTTAAAATAATAATAATAATATAAAACATAGTTCATAGACATAAAAAGAGATGTGATAAAGAGTGCAACTAAAAAGACAGAAATTTTATTATATGCGTTTTGACCACGTAGGCATTTTTGTGACCAAACCACGAGGAATTGTCTCGTGTACTAACACATGACTCTGCAACTTCAACTGCATTGCTCTTTTTCCCAAGTCATCTCTGGCGAGCTCATCAAGAAAGTCAAACATGGTATTCAACTATAAATGTATATATACATCAGGAATCAAACAACAGAAAAACCATTTTATATAAAACATTATCTCATCACTACGCCAATCAGGACGAGATGCAACAACAGAAGTATCGGTTTCTGTCTCATCACCAGACATTGCATCTCTGTAAAAAACGCCATTATAATCCCGATTAAACTTTTCAGTGACAGCATCCTTATGCTTTGTGTACGTTCTTTTTCTCCTTTTATTAAGCTACGATATATATAATATTTTAAGTATACTTGTCAAAATTGAATTATTATAAATAGAAATGCTTACAGCAGTCTTTCTATTTCCTCTTCTGTTTGAGGTAGTGTTTGTCCATCTGTCTTCTTCAGTAAGCTTACTAGCAGCCAAGCGATTGTAATAGCTGTTTACAATTATACCACATAGCTCTTTTGGTGGTACCATGGCTGCTACAGGTTGACAACGAATGTAAAGCATCAAATCACTTGCAAGATTCTTGTTAAACTCGTCAGACAAACCAACATTGACATCCCAAGTTGGTTTATCATCATTTTCTCTGATCAACTCCAAATCATCTGTCTTAAGATTAATATCTCTTAACCGCCCCCAAATAATACTCTATTAAAGATATATTGATGTTAGATTTAAAGGGAGATTGTTTTTATAATTTTAGTATTTGAGCTTACTGAGATCTTTGGGTGTCTTGAGCTGCTTATGATGTCCTGAGGATCTATATCAGAATCCAGAATGGCTTGCATGCCAGTCGATTGAGCACCCACCTGGCATTGTACTGTTCAAATAGTCAGTCTATTGGAAAACAATATAGTTTGTGTTTAATTACCTTTCAATTCACTAATATTGGTGTTGTGGTGGTTGAAGTTGAAGAAGTTTTTAAGAGGAAGAATTGAAGATTTGAAATTAAGAACAAAGATTCGTGAGAACTTGTGTAGGTTTTGTTTATTGAGAAAGATTTTGTATCAAAGTTTGACCAGGTTCCTACACTGAACTACTACTGCTATTTATATTGTTTTGGATTGGGAAAATTATATGACTGGGGTCAGGTAATCGATCCTATCTGAGCCTTAATCAGAGCAACGTGATCTTGGGATAATTAATGTATGATTAATTATATAAATGTGTGTAGTCCCAATGAAGTATTAACATCGAAAGTAAATGTGTTTATGAGTTATAATTATGCTTATAATAATCCACTGATGTATCCTATATTATGGTGATATCATCATATGAAATATAATCACTATCATGCATGCTAAACCTGTGTGTTTAATAATAAAGTAATCGGTAGACACCTTTGACTGGAATAGCTGAGGCCTTATATTATTTCCTTCAGACTTATTCTCAATTACAGCAGTAGTCAATACTCATTTACAATAATTGGAACTAATGGCTGTCATTTTGTCATTGAGTGTAGTGAGAAGACTGACTACATCATTAAACTCTGACACTGGAATTGACATATTTTCTGGTCTAGGAGCAATCATTGGATTTGACGATTCTATACACCCAGTGTTGACTGCGTTGATCAATGGCCTAGATGTTAATCCATTGGTACGTGCGTTCTGGTTGATGTTAGTTCTTGGAGCCATTATCTGTATTTTTATATAATAAAATAATAAGTTTCTGGTATATATTGCTTGATATTTCTATTTTAATAAATTTTTAAAAGAGTACTTTACACGTAAAGAATTGTAGAGTGATTGAGTGATTAAACAATTATGTTAATGATTAAGCGAGCAAGTTGAGCAAGTGTATGAGTGTGTAAATACTTCTTTATTTAAATGATTGAGGAGATCGAAATATATTATTTTAAAAAAAATTGAGCTAGAAAACAACTTCTTTAGGTATATAGTAAGTAACAATTGTTTTATGAAACATATAAAGCTATAATTAGTAGACAATTTTTTTTTCAAAGTAAGAGAAACAGTCTAATAACTTTTTCAGTGTCTACGGCTTTTTCAAACACTGTTTTTTATTTTCCCACCTTTTTCTGTTTTTCTCTACTCTTTAATAATATTAATAAAAATAACACTCTTTTAATCCTACTATGTTTCACTTTAGGCACCCTTAATATATACATATGATGCAGATGTCTTTCATTATACAAGAGGTACTTTACTATTAAATATATCATTATTTTACTAACTATAAATTACTTTAAATAGCCATTACATATATTTCTCTGATATAACCAGTACAGACAAAAAAAAACACAAAAACATATTGGTGGCATGTACGTATATATCTATATCAACATCTTCTTCCCAGTATTAAAAACAATATCTAACATCTACTTTAAATATAGCTCACCCTTGATTTACATATGGTCAGTAAAAACAAATCATTTAAAGAATATAAGGGTACGTGTTATTCATTTTATTATTGTGTTGTTTTTATTTTGTTTTGTTTTTTTATATCAGCATTCTCACTCTCCTTTTTTATAGTTGAAATGGTTCTTCACATTCTTATATGACTGGTACTCAAGGACAAGACATGTTCCTTTAGTAAATATGTATGTATATGTTTTATATTCCTTTCTTTGTAATATATACTTGAATGACGCATCGGCTCATAGCTTTTGATAATATAAATCTGTGTTTTATTCCATTATTAACAAATTATTCTAACAGTATATAAGTATCTTTCTACTCCCTTTAATCAAATAGCTTCAGTAAGCATATATCACTGGAAAAATAAAAAAAATACTATAGCTTTAAGTAATGAGAAAGGTAGTGGAAATGTCAGGGTTTTTTTTCAGCTCAGCCGTTTTTTTTATTTAAGTTGGGGGTGTATTTTTGACGTATTCTATTGGTTTAGATAGACAATAAAAAATTCATATTTTTTTGGCTTGCTATAAAATCACATCAAATAAAGTATTTGTAGTACTTGTTTCCTTTTTTATTTTATAATTCAAGCTATACACAATATGTTTCCCTCTACCCAAATCCACACCTTAGACTGTCACTGCATTAAATGTCACAACAGTCATCAGAAATCTTCTTATGCTGCAAAGCGTACTGAGACTCGTCGTAATAAGAGAGCTAGAGTTGAAGGTACCAGAATATTTGAGAATAGTATAATATATTCAGTGTTGGTTTTTTGTTTGCTGCGTAATAATCATTTTAATTTTTTTTTTATTTTTTATTTATGTTGTTTATTTTTAAACTTTTAATGAAACACAGCCGCAATGAGAAACATGGATGTAGATACTGAGGGTAAGAATTTTTTTATTTGAAAGCAGAAAAAAAAACTAATAAACTATTATATTCCATATTTGTAGTAATCCCGACTTCTCGTTCCGATTCTGTGGAAGCAATGGACGGTCAGGCCAACTCACCTTTTTTGGATGCCGCCTCAATGTTTGACAATGACAGAGACGACAATGATTTCGATGACAATGTTGAAGATGAAGGCAATGAGATCGAGATTGAGGACTTCAACAGTGAAGGTCAGTGTGAGATATATAAAGAAAACTAAAAGAAAAAGATAGTAAAAGAAAAATCAAGTGTTAATTTTTTTTAATTTTTTACAGACCCTTTTGCTGCTCCTGATATGCCCGAAAATGAAGTCCATCAATTCATAGCCATCTTTACGGTACTATTTGCTTCACGTCATGTTGTTGATAAGGGTGCTGCTGTCTTGATTGAGTTTATCAACAACCTGCTGAGAATCTACGACCAAGATTTTCAATTACCAACCAGTCTTGCCAGTTTACAAAAAATGACAGGATTTTCTGCTATTACAAAAGGCATCAAGAAATTTGTGGTGTGCCAAGACTGTCATACAGTATATCAGGATATCGTATCTGCTCCTCCTCGATGTGTTTCCTCAAAACTTGGTGCCAGGTCTGCATGCAACTGTAATTTGACGAAATCCATATCTTCCGGTGCCTTGGTTGCAAAGCGTGAATATGTCTACCAATCCATTAAAAATACATTGAGCGTTTTCTTCCGTCGCCCTAGTTTCGAAGCCAAGATTCGTCAATGGAATAAGGAGTTGAAGATGGTAGATACTCTGTGCGATGTCTATGATGGTGCGATGTGGAAGGAGTTGAAGGACAAGGATGGTGTATCATTTGTGTTGGACCCACGCTCACTAATGTTAACACTTAACATCGACTGGTTCCAGCCCTTTGATGGTGTCACTCACTCCTCTGGTGCTATCTATCTGGCCATCAACAACTTGCCCCGTGATGAAAGATTCAAGCCAGAGAATATTATCCTTGTAGGTCTCATGCCTGGTCCAAAGGAGCCAAAAACCAACGAGATCAATAGTTACTTGGAGCCCTTGGTGGATGATTTGAAGCAGCTGTACATTGGCATGCGGATTCCTACACACGAATTCCCAAATGGTGTCAGTGTTCGTGCTGCACTACTGATGGTTGCATGTGATATCCCAGCCGCCAGAAAGACAAGTGGATTCACAGCGCATAACAGCACATGTGCTTGTTACAGGTGCAGCCGGCAGTTTACTCGGTTAGGGAGCAGCAACCAGGTTGATTTCCGTGGATTCAATTATTCTCGTTGGAATATCCGCAGTGGTGCAGAGAGCAGGTTGCATGCTGAGGAGTGGAAGGATGCAAGTACACTCTCAGAAAGGCATCAGCTGGAGGTCGAAAATGGTGTTCGATGGTCGCAGTTGCAACGCCTTGGATACTTTGATCTAGTACGTGGAACGATCATTGATCCCATGCATAATCTTTTCCTGGGGACGTCTAAGAGATTAATGGATCGGTGGATTGATGAGAAGACAATTGGACCTGAAGAGTTTGCTTCGATGGAGAAAATTGCAGAGACAATGGTACTGCCCAGAGATTACACCACACTGACAACCAAAATTGGAAAGGGCTTCAGCTACATGAAAGCGGACGAGTGGAAATCATGGGTTCTGGTTTATTCTCCTGTCTTGTTGCATGGTATTCTCCCTCCATTACAATTCAAGAACTGGATGTATTTCGTTGATGCATGCCGATACTACGTAAAGCCCAGCATTACTTTTGATGAGATCACCACTGCCCACAGCCTGTTAGAAAAGTTTTGCAATGCATGTAACGTAGACTATACCGCCACTATTCTCACCTGCAATATGCACCTACACCTCCATCTTCATGAATGCATTCGTGATTTTGGACCAGTGTATGGTTATTGGCTCTTTGGGTTTGAGTGATACAATGGTATTTTAAAGAATTTCAAGACAAATGGCAAAGACGGTTTTGAGGCGACCTACATGAAAAATTTTGTTCAGAATGCGTATAAGGGTGATTATGTCAATGCTGTTCTTAAAAGTTCTAGCCAGATCCCCTTCATTCACACTCTGTCTAAACTTGTTACAACCTCCATACCTGCCGCCACAGTCACCACTCTCTCCAGTCGCCCATTCAGATTGCAAGCATTCGTTCAAGGCTACACTGATCCTTATAATCCACCCAAGGGTAACGAGCCTCTTCCTCCTTCTACATTTCCTCTAAAATACAAAAAGCCATCAGTAATGGATGATTCCAACTATCTCCATTTACTTGAATATTACCAAGTCGCTTACAACCTCCCAGACCTTGCCAGCTATCAGGACACGTCCTATAATCGCCCAGCACTTGACAATCAAATCATCAAATTGAAGTCAATTGACATTCTTGGTCAACACTATCGAGGAACAAACAACAGCACAATCAGTCGCGGATCACTTGTTCAGGCAAAGTTTGTTGGTAGTAATGGAAACATTATACTTGGATTTGCTGGACAAATTCAGTATCTTTTTACACACTCCTTCCAACTTCCACCCACGCACAATCTCCATCTGACTCGCATGGTTCATGATCATCAACATGTATTCGCATTTATCAAGTGGTTTCGTACTTCCTCTGATAGGTCGCGTGAGGATGACGGTGTTGAATTTTGTTTGCCCACGTTCTCTCCTGATAGCTACCATAGCATTATATCTGTACATCGCATCTTATTAGAGGTTGCTACAGCTACTATTGCGACAAGTAGAAATGTTAGCAAAATGCTGGTAATTCCATTGCCAAAGAAGCCATATGCTTAAATAATAAATAAAGTGAACTTTTACATTTCTTTTTCTTTAACAAAAAAAACAGAGCGCGTATTTCTGATATATATATTGATAGTATTTTGTATGTGAAAAGTAATATATAGATAAAAAGAGAGAGGCAATTTTTGTTTATTTAATACCCGTCTCTAAGGGCCCACTGAGGAAATTTGGGGGTTATGTCATCTGGGACTGCTGTATTGGACACACTGGTGAAAACCCTCTCCTTCATTTGAGAAGCACTTGACCCCATTGCTTCAATAACGTACTCATCAACGAGTTTAATGAGAGTATTGAACTAAAATGATTTTGTTAATACTTCACTTTATATTTTTTATAATAAGACATAATTATTAATATAAAATAATATACCTCGTCACTTCTCCATCCTGGCCGAACAATCTTGACGATGCTCTTCGTGCGATTCTCGAAGTCTTCATCTGCAGATTCTCCATCGGACATTGCTGCCATTTGCATCGTGAAGTCACAATCTCTCTTCATTTGTAGATCAATTGCTTCTTTGTTGTCTGTGTATGCAAGTAAATGGCGAGTATGATTCTAATAGTAGTTTTTTTGTATTAGTATTTTTAAAATTCTCAAAACTAAACTATATTATTTTGAAATTATTTATTTAGAGATTACACTTACATCTCTGGCACGTCCTGCCCTTCTCGAACGAGTGTTTGTTGCTTTTATTTCCTCTTCGGTTTTTCTTGCTTTTGAAACCCGGCTGGTGAAGTTTTTGTGCAGTCTTGCTCTCAAGTCTGCCTCTCTAAATCCCTCATGGGTAAACTTGCGCTTCAAGTTTTCAAGAAGTCGCACCACCAACTCCTTGTTTGGCGACTTGTAAAAGAAAACATTTGTATTCCATCTGGGCTTACTCTCATTTGCCAGGATATCAGCTTGATTTCTTGTTTTCAGCTTGGGATCCCACATGAGATTACGAATATGGGCCTGATAGAATATATGAGAAAATACATTGATAAAATTTTGCACACGTTGATACTCACATAAACATCATTAGAGGCCTTATTGCTAAACTCAGACGGGGCGTTGAAGGCAGGCTGAGAAACATTAGCCATTGTATTGGTAGGGGAAACGAGGGGGGCTCTGCTTAAACTGTCAATAGCAGTGATTGTTTCAGTGCTGCTGGTGGCAAGAACACCAATTCTGCTATTCATGTTTAGCAATGTATCTTCAACAGTGCCGATTTGTTCTTGTACAATCGACATGTCAGCTGCCATGTTGGTTCCCATGGCTGTCATATTAGTTTTCAAAGTAGAAAGAATTTCCATCAATTGTTCGTTTGTAATCTCAACGGGACGAAGAGCAAGTTGACGTCTTTGAATAGCCATTGTCTACAGAATATAATAAAAGGTAAAAATGTAACTGTTAATTTTAGATTACATTGTTATTGATGCTATTATACAATTGAATTGAATTGAATTAAAAATAAATTATATCAAATTTACATACTTAAATTATTTGAAATAAAATGGGTTGATGTGTGTGTGTTTGAGTATGAGTGCAATAAGTAGCAAGAAAGCAGGAGAAAGAGTAAACAAATTGTATAAAACGTATGGTTTATATAGATATTCAGCATATCTTTGATATATAAGTCTCTATTAATACTTCTTGTAATCACTGAGATGCAAATCGGCTTTCATACTGCTTTAGAACCCAATTGATCAAACCAGTCTAGTCTTTTGTTTCAAACGCACTTTTCTTTTTTCTTTTTTTTTCTTTTTTTGTTGTTGTTCCTGTTTCTCTTTTTTTTTGCTCTTTATATTTGCTATTGGTCTTTTCTTTGTTTCTCTATCTCTGCAACTTCTATTATATTTGCAAACTATTTGTGTAAGACATGTTCTTTCTAAAAAGTCTTCTTTATAGAAAATAAAAGAATTTATTTATTCTGTTGCCATAGACACACTCTTCGTCGCTGTCTCCACCCATTTTTTTATTTTTTTATTAGTCTTTTTTTTTAATCTGCTTTTTTAAAGTACTTTTTTTATATAACTAAAAAGAATTAGTTGTTTCAGTTGCCATAGACACTCGCCCTCTCTTTTCTTTTTACTTCTTTCTTTCTCTTTTACTCTTATACTTGCAAATGTTCCTGGTAAGACGCTTTTTTTCTTTATTTTTCTTTATTAGTAATTTCTTCAAATATAGCTGAGTAATAACAAGTGTTTCTGCTACCATAGTCACTCACGTATAGTTTCCTTCTGATGCATCCTCTTCACAATGGCCATCCGGATTAGCCAAGGTTAGTAAATATACTTCATACCATCATCTCATAAAAGTATCCTGATTTTTTCCTTTCTTTTTTATAGGACATATCACCAAAAATATTTTCTACAGCTAAACACGACCACCAACACGGTAATATTTTTATCTATTTATTTATTATATTTCTCTTTAATATTAATCAAACTGAATCCAATTTTTACTATAGATGAACAACCCTCTCTAAAACATGCTATGAATCAAAAGCTTCTATCTCATGCTGCTGTCATTGACATGGTAAGACTTTTTTTGTTCTTTTACTATCCTTATATGTATCATTATATTACTTATACTGTTTATTAATAAAAAAACTACCAGATACTATATCGACTTTTGATAAGTATTATCTATATCTACAAATAAATCCGTTTGCTTTGGGTATGTAAATTAATAATTATATCGCCCAATTCACAAAAATTACTTTTTTCCAATCATTTTCATAGTCAAAGGAATCAAAATTCCGTAGCTTTACTTGTAATATTTTATTGTTTGGTCTTTGTACTGGATAATTCCAATATAAGTATTAATGGTTTATAAGAATTGAAATATCCAACACACACGCACACCCATCACTAACGATTTATCTATTCTCAAAGAGTACTGCTCGTACCCCAAAAAAAAACGTATTGAGCAGCTCATTTTTTTTTAGGTATTTCTTTTTTGTAGAAAATTTTTCATCCCAAATATAACAAACCGACCGAGCAAGAAGTAGCTAGAGATATAGAATAGTATTATTAGATCTGAAACCTAGAAACATTCTATTCTTTCCAATAAAAATAAAAGCGTAAACCATTACCAGCCTAATAAGAACGGGAAACCAAATAAATAAAGAACATATTACTGGTCCATAATTTTAAAGACGCCTTTTTTTGCTGCTGATGACCAAACTTCTTAACAATAAACTAGCTTAAAGGTCACCTTTACGCTACTTTTAATCTTCATAATATGTCGGTGCCTGACCTTTATGGTTCCATATAAAGAATATCAAAATAGATACGCAGTTTTAAAAAACTTTCTTTTTATATATCAAGTCAGATAAGTATATCTAAAGTGCTAACAAACCTTACCTGCGGCACCCCCCACCCACAATTCCGCTAGTTGACTCTAGTCATTCCACTATCTGTGAAGGTCACCTTCAGCACAAGTGGAAAAAAAAATCAACTAATTTAAATATGGAAATTACACTACACTATACCCCATATTTAAACTACCTTATTTTTTTAATTTTTCCAGTGTATTAGATTAGCTGTCAGCAGTTTATATATATATCAGATTGGCGGTTATCAGCTTATATATATAGTAGATCACCTGTTATCAACTTATCTATATACTAGATTAATGGTCATTAGCTTATATATATATCAGATTGGTTGTCAGCCGCTTATATATATATCATATTAGCAATCATCAGCTTATATATATAGCAGATCATTAGGTATTTGGGGTTTTTTATGCGTTAGTATCTCAATAATGGGAAAAGTAAATACTGTGAGAGTGTTAGTTATTATAGAGACAAAATAATATAGTTTTTATATTTGCTACTATTCAATTCTCTGTAATTCAAATCCCTGTTGTGTAATGGTTGGTTTACACTATATGAGTGTGTTGTGTACATGTGCCCAGTGTGTAACAGTTTCGGAGATTGTTAACTTGCTAGGTTCATTAGCAAGAAAGAATCAGTGTTTGGTTGTGTGGTTGGTTTTTCACTTAATTGTGGTGTATACCACACTATGTACACTGAAAAAATAACAATAAATACACACCGGGAAATTCAGGCATACTATTGTGAATATTCCGCATTTTACAGTGGTGTTTTGCCTATTTTCACTGGTACCAAAGCTGATCTGGTTACATGTGCACAGACCTGCTATCTACAAGTGTAAAGTTCGATAGCACTAGTGAAGTTGGGGTCAATAGTAATTTTATATCTTTGTATATAATAGAGTACCTAGAAAACTTTATTTCAAACTTTGTTTTTTTGCTGTAATACAATCTGTTTCCATGTTAAAGATTAATAATCAGGGACTACGTTGCATGTGTATTGTTGAACTATCCCTGGGTAAATAGTTAGAACCATGGACATTTTATTACTTATAAGCCAATCATTAACACTCTTTATTATGAGGTCATAGATTATCTGCTCCCCCAATTACTTGATATTCAATTATTATTGGTTTGAATTATAGTTTATTTTTGTATTTATTAGAAAAAATAGAATGATTCTAGGTTGATAGTATTGGAATAATATTATATGCCTTGGGCCGTCTTCACCGGTATCCTTCATATGACTCAAATCAAGCAGTGCTTTATATATAATGTTTGTAAACCCTTATATTCAGTAGTTATCTTTGGCACAGATACTATTTAACATAATAGAAGAGAAGTTAGATGTGTATTTAAATATTTACATGTTGTGAGTGATATATTAATTTGAGGATACATACAATATAATGACCGAAGAAGATAAAATTAAAACTTTGAGAGTTCGAGGCATAGCATCAAGTATAATTTCTTTAACAATGAAAATAATATAGAGAAGTTAGTTTGAGTGAATTGGGTGACAGAATATGTAATGAACGTACCCGAAGAAAGTCAATTTATTTGTAGACCTAGATAGTACTTGTCAAGAGTTGATATAACCTTTAGTAAAAAACATATATTAATATACAGTATAAATAATACTATCATACATATTAAGAGAATAAAAGAAGAAGTCTTACCATGTCAATGATGGCACCAAGAGATAGAGGTTCTTGATTCATTGCGTGTTTGGCAGATGAACATTCATCTATAATAAAAATTATATTCTGTCAGATAAATATTAAAAGTAAATAAAAAATAAAATATTACCATGTTGATGGTCTTGTTTAATTGTAGGGAATATTTTTGGCGATATTGTCTATAAAAGAGAAGGAGAAAAGTCAGAATAATTTTATAGGATGATGACATAAAGTATAGTTACTAACCTGGAATAATCTGGATGGCCATTGTAAAGAGAATATATCAGAAGGAAAAAACACGCTAGTATCTATGACAACTGAAATAATAATTATTATTTAGTTACATTTAAAGAAAAGAATTGCTTTAAAAAAAAAGAAGATATGTTACCAAAAAGTTTGCGAATATAGTAAAACACTAAGAGAGTATATATGTATCTATGACAACAGAATGTGTTAATCTTGTTGTTGTCTGTACAGAAGTATTTTTAAGAAGAATGTATCTTACCAGTAAAATTCACAGTTATAATAAAAATCAGAAAGAGAAAGAAAAGAAAAGAAAATGGTCGATAAGGAAAAATATGGAAAAATATGGAAAAATAAAAAAATAAGTAAATAAAATACAAAAAAAACAAAATAGGTAATTAAAAAAAATGAAACTCAAAAAAAATATCCAAAAAGCATAATAGATATAATGGTGTAGTATCTAAAAGCAATCTTTGTATCAATTTACACAGTGTGTGTACAAGAAGTTACTTTAGATATATTCTTTTAACCAAGATCAATCAAGACTAGACATCCTTTTTTTTAGAAATATAAATATACATTTTTGCTACAATCTTACTCACCCTTGCTCACGCACTCTTACAATTATTCTTACTTATACTCACACTTTCTCTCTCTATCTCCCCATCTTTTTCTGTCTTTTATTTTGGTATGTTTGATAATAAATATAATTGTAGTGTATAATAAAAATTTATTCAAAGAATATAAAAGCATTAACAGTTAATACATATTTGAACTTATATTTTTAAATTAATAGAATATGTCTAACCAAAATGAAAGCTATCCCACTTGACGCACTCCTGCTGAGAGAGAGATGACAAACTCTCTTGCCATCTTGTGTCGTGACATGACCACTGTCATGAAAGACGTTGCTGATATCAAAGCAAAAACTTCGAACACTCCTGTGTCTGCTGTTTTGCAGAGTCAGCCGATGGCTTTAGTGCATGCTGTTGCTCCTGTGAGCATGGAAATGAATGTAGCTGGTTCTCCCACCATGGCTTCTGATGCAAAATCAGTCAACAAAACAAAAGCCTATATATGTATCATACATATAGTAAATTATATCTTTAATAACTTATCAAGATTCAATAGAGACTTCTTCGGGAGCATTTGTGGGACCCTAAGTTCAAGTCAAAACGTTTGGCTGAAATTCAAGCCAACAATGGCAAGCCAAGATGGAACACAGCTGTCAACTTCAACCAGTCGCCAAACACTGAGTTGACAGAAAACCTTGTTGCCTACTTGGAAAGAAATTTCGTAGGAGCAGGACTGAGAAAAAGTGATGTTCGTGACTTTGTCTACACGAACTTCACTAGCAGAAAGCGTGCAGCTAATAAGTCTCAGGCTAAAAAGAAGTCAGACAATGCTCGCAACAGAAGGAGTAGCTACAAAAAGGAGGTAAGTTATACTTTATTTATTTATTATTTGAATAATTCTTATCTAAGTCATTAATTTAAAGCAAAAAAAGAAAACTAATTTAATATTTTCAACAGCACTTGAAACGTCGCAAAACAGCGTACCAGTCTAACAAGACTGCTATTGATGACGAGATGAAAAGAGATTGCTCTGGTCTCATTATAGAAGAGGCTATGTCTGTTGGTGAGTCAGACAATGGCACTTCGCCTCATGTTTCTTATAGTGGGCTTCGTCTTCATCGTCCATATTAGAGAAGTTATGAGGTAATTAGTTTTTTGAAAGTTGAAATATTGAATTTAGTTAATATATTATATTGTATTATACTGAATAAAATATTAATGTCTTTAATATAGTACAACCACTTCATCACACTTGTTGACAACAAAGTGGTAGCTGATTTAGGCTTAAATAGTCATCAATTGCTGTCACATGCTTTTGGCGAAACCGTTAAAGGACCAGTCTCTGATGCAATTGTGTCACAGTTTCCTCAGCGGGCTCTTAGAAACGGGCCCTAAATAAAGTTTATATTTTTTGTTCTTTTTTTCTTCATTCATAACGTCTTATACTTTAAATAACCAAAAAAATACATAAAGAGGCATTACTTGTTCTTTGTTTTTTATTTAATTATTCTCATAAAAAATCATAGTGCATAATTATTCATAAAGGCTTCAGGCATAGTATTTTTTGGCATAGGAATGACCAGCATTCTTTCTTCGTTCATATCAGTTACATCTACAGCAGTTGCGACCTCTAAGTGTATGTGCTGTACAGGTAAGATGCTGTGATAATTATCAGCAGAGAATTCTGGCAAGCAGATTGCAATACCTTCATCTCTGTGTTCATTGTCATTTGTCGAATTATACCATTGGATGTATACAAAAACATGCTGGTCTTGATGTAATGTTGATGCTTGGTGGTTTGGATGAGGAGGCAGAGTAAATGAATGTATAAAAAGATACTGAATTTGTCCAGTATATAGGCTTGAAGTTCGGCCATTGCTGCTACAGAAGAAAGCTTGAACAAGTGACCCGCACTTACCAGAACTGTTGTTCCCAATATATGTTTGGCCAAGGAGATCAATTGATTTCAATTTTGTGATTCGGTTATTTACAAAATATTGTGACAATCTGGCATCGTGGTAAGAAATGAGATTGGGCATGGCATAGGCGATTTTATAATAATCTAACAATTGATGATAATCAATATCACTCATTGTTGATTCTTTTAAGGACTGTAAAGGAAAGGTGGATGGGGGGAGTGGTTCATTGCCTTTGATAGGTGCTGCTCGACTTAAGGATGAGTCTACAAATTGTTGCAGTCAGAAAGGTTGTTGGTTGGTTGGAGCGTAAGTGGCATAGGTCGTTATAGGTGTGGTCGTAGAGGTAAGTTTTTCGAAAAGAGGAAGGAATGGAATGAGGCTTGAACATGATAACGTATTTCGTATGTAATCAGCTTTGTATGCATCTGCAGTGAATTTTGTCATATAGGTTGTTTCAAACCCGTTTTTTCTGTTTGTCTTGTTATTCTTTAACAAACCATTGTATCTCTCAAAACCAAAGAGCCAATAGCCATACACGGGTCCAAAATCACGAATTGTGTCATGAAGATGGAGGTGCAGGTGCATGTTGCAGGTGAGGACTTTTGGTTTATATGTATCTTCACAAGATTGACAGAATTCTTGTAGATATCTGTGTGCTTGGTCTATTTCGATGAAACTGATTGACGGCTTTACAAGTATACGGCATGCTTTTACATAGTGCATCCAGCCATTAAACATATTGGACAGAAGAACTGGTTTTAGAAGCACGGGAGAGTACACCAATACCCAAGACTTCCACTCATCTGCTTTCATGTGGGAAAAGCCCTTTCCTATCTTCGTTTTCAGCTTGGTATAGTCGCTGGGCAATATCATCGTTGCTGCAACTGTCTGCATTGCAAGCAGATCATTGTTTTTCATTTTTTTTCATTTTTGTCCATGTTTCAATCATTCTCTTTGGTGTTTCCAGAAAAAGATTATGCATGGGATCAATGATCGTTCCACGTACTAGATCAAAGTATCCAAGGCGATACAACTGCGACCATCGAACACCATATTCGACCTTCAGCTGCTGCCTTTCTGAGGGTGTACTCGCACTATTCCACTCCTCAGCATGCACACGGTTTGCTCTATCACTTCGATGGCGCCACTGGGCACAATCAAATCCATGGAAATCGACAGAAGAAGTGCCTGGTAGACGAGAAAATTGATTGCTGCATTTGTAACAGGCACATGTGCTGTTGTGCGCGGTGAACCCACTAGTCTTTCTGGCAGCAGGTATATCGCATGCAACCATCAATAAGGCTGCACGAACTGTTGCACCGTCTGTTTGCTGGTAGGTGGGTATCTGTATTCCAAGATAGAGCTGTATCATTTTGTCGACTAATGGCTTGAGATAATGATTGATCTCTTCTGATTTTGGCTCTTTTGGTCCGGGCATGAGACCAACAAGGATTGTATTTTCTGCTTTAAACTGCTCACTTCTAGGCTGGTTGTTTATCACCAGGTAGATAGCACCAAAGGAATAGCTAGTACCATCAAAAGGCTGGAACCAGTCGATGTTTAATGTCAGCATCAATGAACGAGGATGCTCAACAAAAATTTCATCGTCATTGTCCTTCAAATCAGTCCAGGCTTCACCATCGTAAACATCACACAATGTATCAGTGATCTTGAATTCTTGGTTCCAGTGCATGATCTTTTGCTCGAAATCGGGATGGAGGAAAAGAATTTTAAGAGCATGTGTGAGAGACTGATATACATAAGACTTCTTTGCAACCAAACCACCAGACAATGATTGGACCATTAATTTGCAATTACAGGCGGTATATGCACCAAGCTTTACGAAATCACAATTCAAAGGAGCAGGTACACTTTCCTCATACACCTTGTGGCAATCCTGACACACGACAAATCTCTTAATCCCTTTTGTCATGGCTGAGAATTCTGTCATGCTTTGGAGACCAGAAAGACTCATGGGCAATTGGAAATCCTGCTCGTAAATCAATAAGAGCTTGTTGACAAACTCAATCAAGACAACAGCACCCTTATTGACCATATAGTGGGAAGCAAACATTACCACAAAAGTAGAAATAAATCTGTGTACCGGATTTTTAGACATATTTGGGGTGGCAAAAGGATCTATTGTAAAAAAACAAAAGAATGAACACCCCCCTTTTTCAGATTTTTCTTTTTTGGTTCTTTTCATTGAATTTTTTTAGGTCTTTTTTTTAGCTAATTAACATGGACTGATCTTCACTATCGAATTCTTCAACTTCAATCTCAACAACATTCTCTTCACCGTCTTCACTTTCTTCACCATCATTGTTTTCTTTGTCATTATCATTTTCATCACTATTACTGCTTTTGCCATTCGACTCATTGCTAAAAGCAATCTCATCATCAGAAATTGAGGCTTCTCTCCAAACAGATAAGTTGGTCTGACCACCCATTGCTTCCATGGGTCCGGTTTGTTAGTTTGATGTAATTACATATAGAATTCAATTTTTAGTTTACTTCTCTTTTTATTACAATTAATGTTTCTTACTTTCAAAATCAATATCTATGAGATTTCTTTGAACAGATACATCTATTGAAATAAAATATTATATAAAATAACCAAAATGAAAATGAAAATGAAAAACAAAACATACTTCTTTCACTTCTTTCCATATCTTCATATCTTGCTCTTTTATTGTGATGCTGAAGAGTTTGTATAGAAATAAAGTTGTAGCCTTGTTAATTATTGCTAAATTTTATGCAATAGCATATCTTATTATAAAGTTCAAAAGTAGAAGACATGGTGTTTATTTAGTTATAAATGTTAAGATAAAAGAAAAACAAGTGTTACATTTACTTTATTTGTTTAAATTTTATAGTAATACTAATAGTAATAATGATAAAATAACTTGGATGGTTATTATATCCAAGCCAATAGAAAATTACAACATGACTTTAGGAACATATATACCAAAAAACATACTGAAATGAAAAATTGCTCTAAATATCTACATGTAACAATAAACTTTCACACAATGGTATTCAGAGTTATTTCTCTAGTGTAAGATAATAGTATAAATAATTTGAATAATTAGAAAAATAGTTAAATTAAAAGAAGAGAAATGAATAATACTAATTCTAAAGAGTTAACTATAGGAAGGAAAATGTTTACAAGAGTAAAGAATTTAACTAAAGAAAAATTTACTATGGTAAATTTACCAAGAGATAAATAAAAGGGGAAATTGGGACAAAATAATAGAATAAAAGGGGATGGTCAATCTTCCACAAAAACTTGACAGAACAAATAAATAAAACAGAAGAAATTTTACAAAGAGAAATTAGAAATAATAGACAGTGTCTTAAAGAAAACTTTATATCAGAAAAATTTGACAGTTGTTTATTGATTGATTTTAGAGAGATACTTATACTATTTTATGAATAAAATATATGGCAAAAATACGCTAAATAAAACGTGATGAGATAAACATAAATAAAAATATAAAGAAAAATAACTATATAAATATTTTGTCATGAAAGAAGAATTGATGAAGTTATAATATATAACTATAAGAAAAAGAAAATATTGGAAAGATGTATGTTATAAATAAAGAGAAAAACTATTCAGTTAACAATTTTAGTAAAGTAGTGTTTGAAAGGAAACGTTACATTTAGTGCGCAAGAGTAAAATAAAAAGGAAAGAGAGAAAACAATTTCAGAAAAAATAAAGGGGAAAAGATTTTAATTTTCACAAAATTGGTTTTTGGAAAAAAGACAATTTTATGAAAATGAAAGAAAGAAATTAAAATTTTGAAGAAAAATTAAAGGGGGTTTTCAAAAGAATGTCTGAACTTAGTAGAATATGTTTTTTGGACTGAGACCAACAACATCACCACACTACGTGTCAAAACTTAACACATAATGTGTTTGTTTGTTGTGAATTGTAATAGTATCACTTGGCAAATAAATATAATGTGAATTATAAAATACAAGAAGAAGAATACAATAAGAATCAAAAAGAATGAGTAATTTAACAGATAAGAATTGGTGACAGATAAGTAAAAAAAAATAGGGAGAAGATAAAAATGGAAATTGTGACAACAACAAAGTTTAAGAAAGACAGAAAAGAGAAAACAGAGAAATAAAATATATCAAGATCGACAGACAACACTTCAAAGAACAAGAATACTATGTATGAATGAAGAATAACGATAATAATGGACAAGAATAAATAAGATCAAGGATAGAATAATGCTTTTATTGATTGAAAAGATTGTTTCTTTTATAAACAAAAATGTTTGGTTAAAATAATTTTTTGAGAGAAAGAAAAGAAAGTTGTGAAAATTTTTACTACATGTAACTGGTGTTGATAGTAGAAGTGAAATAGAAAAATATAAAGAGGATAAAATAAAAGTATAATAAAAATATAGTAATTGAATAAAACTAAAATAAAAATATAGTAAGATAGAATAGAAATAAAGTAATAATATAATAGCAATGTAGTGAAGTAAAGTAAAAAATATAATAATAGTATAATAATGAAGTCTAATGAAAATGTAATAAAAAATATTGTAAATAAATATTGGCGATAAAGAAGTATATAAAATTAGGGGAAAGAAGTATAATTTTTAGTGAGTGACAGGCATTTCTGAGGTAACGATATAGATAGGTATTTTAATTATTTAAGGGACAGAATAAAATTGGTGGTTTGAGTATAAGAGGTATCTGAAACAAGATTTCCTAAGAAACCTGGGGGAACCACTTCTGTCCCTCAAGAAATGTCACTTGGTCAACTCACTACCAACGTCAACGTCCATGAGTCCAGTACCACCCATCATGGCTCACCACCAGACCAAACCACGGAAGGAACCTACCGTTCAGTATATATTACCAGAAACAGGCTGAAGGCAGACTTGGCCACAATACATGTGACAAAACTATGTTGCGTGTAGTATGTGGTTGTGTGTAGGAGATGTACAAGAACAGATAAATATATGTAAGAAGAGAAATTAAAAAGTGAAATTGAAGATTTGAGTTTGATATCGGATAAATTGGAGTGATAAAATAGTCTCTTTGTTACTAAATAGACCAGTTAAAGAAATTAAAAGGGAAACTAACACTAAGGTAAGAGTGTAAATAATTTGAATAATTAGAGAAATAGTTAAACTAAAAGAAGTGAAGTAAATAATACTAATTCTAAAGAGTTTGTAGCAAACACTTTAAACACAAGAAGTCAATTTTACTTATTATTTATTTCAAAGTAAAGAAAAAACCAAACTCTGCCAAAATTATTTTCTTGTTCATTAAATAACAAATTGAGTACCAATGTGACGACTAATAATTATTCTACTAAGTCTGTTATGAGCTGGATGAGTGATGGTTATGATTAGTCATTACTTGATACTATCCATATGGTGGTATTTTATCACACTCCCCCCGGCCAGGCTTCAACTATGGTTGAGACAACTATAAGGCAGTACTATGGTAAATGACTGTCACTATGGCGGAGAAAATGGTAACATGTTACCACTTTGGTAACATAACTGCAATTTTTTACTTAATAAAAAATGGCAGTTATGACTCTGTATAAGGCCAAAACAGGTACTGTTACCATTTTTTACATAGTAAAAAATGGCAGTCATTTATTATGTAAAAAGCCAAAACAAGCACTGTTACCATTTTTTTCATAATAAAAAATGGCAGTTATTTATTATGTAAAAAGCCAAAACAGGCACTGTTACCATTTTTCAAAAAAAAATCAAGCGTCCTTCCTTTCCTCTATTACATTCTTTCTTTTGTTCTATTGCTTTCAATTCTAGCACAACCTCTTGTTTTTCCTTTGCAGCTTTAACAGAATGGTCTGTTTTTTATTATACAATATTGAATTGGGTTTAATTGAATTGAATCTTTATTTCAATGCATGTTTTATTAAATGAAAATGGTAATAATAATAGTAATAATGAAAAAACAATTCCATCGGCCACTCGCAATAAAAAATGGTTCTGTTTAGCTACTGCAAAACGTATGCAGTAAAACACTACTATTCAAATTGTATTTCATATACTTTGGGTATTCTAATATATCTTAGATAGCACTTATTATTTTTTACCAATTTCTACAAATATACTAATATTAGAGAAAAAACTTAAAATAAATAAATAGATATAATATTATTATAATGCTTACCTTCATATAATATGCTTACTTGTTCAGTAAAATAAGCATTTACTCTAAGAATATATATATATATTAAAGAATGTATTAATATTTAAGATCTATATATAAGAAAAGCAATAAAACATAAGCACTATAGAAAGTCGTTATCATAGAAGAAGAAAAACTTGAGCAAAGATTCAAGTCATGTAACATGAAGCTAATTCGAATCTGATTCATACAACCGGAATGAGCATCTTGTTAGAAAGCTCAACATGTTTATTCTACTCAATATACTTACATATAATAGAACGACTCCCAAGTATAATATATCAGTACAAAAATATTACTATTAATTTTTTTCTCAAAAAAAAGGCTATATACCATTTCCTTTTATATTTGAATATAGCGGAACTGTAGATGCTGTACATTAGCTTCAAATTCTTGTAATCACAACATTAGCAATCATATGAAAGAGGTTGATAAATTTTTTGTATGAAAGAAAAAAGGAATAAAAAACATAAAAAGAAAAATGACGAGATAAGAAAAAAAATGCACTAAAGACAGACTAAAAAAATCAAACTCGGCCAATCACAGCAGCCAAACTACAATCTTTGGCTTCTCTTGCAAGCAGGCTCAACACTTGCTGTGGGTGGAGGAGACCTACATAAAAGAGTAAGAAGTTTATATTAATTTTGTATTAACAGCGCATGAGAAAAAGCAACAATGGTAACTTACAGCACATCTGCCATTATGGGCGACTCAATATCACCAGTTTCTGACATATCAGAAGAAGAAAGTAAAGAATCACTTATGTCTCACTGTGTCTATAGCATAATAAAAGGAAACGATGTTAATTAAAGTTTACAATATATAGATTTGTTAATTGATAAACTTACTTTGTTCTTCTCTGCCATTCTTCTCTTGTTCGTCTGGTTGTCGCTCTTGAAGCTTTCCCAAAGAAGGCTTCTTGCACACCACATTTTTTTACATTGGTGGATGTGCAATCCACCATTCTTTGCCAACCTCTCCAAATGCATCATGTAGTATTCCCTGTTTTTCTCTGGGATATTCTTCCATTCTTTTGAGGCCGCAGGATAGTCTTTGTCAATGATATCATGCTTTACCGTACGGTCTAATGTTTTGAGATGCAATCTTTTTACTGTCAAATCATGGTCTGAAAGAGGGACTAATGGGGGCAAAGGCTGCCCTTGTGGAACTTCTTTGCAGCGCGCCTTCCAGTCCTGCTCGTGAAGAATCTGAAGCAACAGATTGTATTTTTGTGCTTCGTTTTTTCCTTTGAACTCGCCGCCAGTATTGATTACTCACTTACCGAGCTGATCAGGGTACTCTGTGAGCTGGGCTCTTTTCACAGACTTGGCAATGTGCTCAAGAGCTACAAAAAATGTATGACAATATTAATAGAATAAATGAACATCTAAGCACAGAATATATATGACTTACAACTCTGCTCAATAATGCTTTGTTGCATTGTAGTTAGATCTTCCGCACTGACTGCTGGCGCAAATTGATTGCTGAATTGCCTTTGAAGCTTGCGCAATGCTTGCTTGATTTCAGCAAGATCAACCTCAATCTTTTGAATTGAGTTGAGGAGAGTTGTGTTAATATTGGACATGTTTAAGTTTTTTTTAGCTATAAGCAGTGAGTTGAAAAGAAAAGGTGATAGTTTAGACAAGTAGAATAAGAGCGATTTGAGTTTGAGAAAGGCAACGATTTATTACAAGCAATTGATAGCTATTTATATGAAAAAGATACAGACAGATGTACAAACAAAACATATAAAAGAAGGGATGCTTATGCACTTGCATGCACCTGTCTGCACCTGTCTGCAGTAGCTCATGTGAACATGATACAGTCTTTTTGTGTTGACACAACAAAACTGTAAGAAATATAAAGATAAAATGAATTAGACTTTAAATCAATATTATATGTATAAATGTTCATACTTTGCACCGTCTACATATTAAACGTTTTAAAGTATATGATATAATAATATAACTCTATACATATTGCAGATATAGCATGAAATTTGGTTAAAGTTCTCGATGACAAAACTCTGTACCAGTTAAAATTATAACTTTAAATATACTCTACAGTAGCTATATAACATCTGAACATCATATAGTTAATTAGCCCCTTTTTATCAACAGTAAAGTAAGTGTTATGATACTCAAGTCCATATCATACTTATTATCATTATTGATTAAAACGCGTTTTGATTGATGCTGTCATCAAAGATAAAAATAATTTTAACTCTCATTACTATTATTTACCAAGGGGCATTTTTGACTGAAACCGTACATTTTTGAAAAAGATGTGTTTTAACTCATATTGGCACTTTCAATTAACACCCCTTTCGATCAGTAGTGCTTATCTTGATGATGTCAGTAAAAGAGTATCAGACTATAGCCCTCATTATCTATATCTATTTCTTTAAGTTTTATACATAAACAAGAAAATAATGCTATTAGCTAAACATATATTCACTATCTCAAAAATACTATTAGTATAACACAGATAATATAAATATGTCTTTTCTACCAATGTGTTTAGACAGTACTACTTTTTTTTAACTGTTAATTATTAGAAAGCTGTTTTTCTTTGCCTTTGGTATTAGAGAGTAATTAATAATTTATTTAAAAAAAACATAAATTATTTGGTCATTAATTATTCTAAATATACATATACCTCTTTATAAAGCTCAAAGAATATCTAATCACTCACAAGTAAAGAGTATGTGTCTGTTTCACCTGTGCTCTTTTAATGGTACCCCCTTGTCAACCAAGAAGTATTTTAACTTACATCATAATTATTAATGAAGAAGAATCTTTCCAACCACGAGAATTATTTACTGGCAGGTGTTTCACCTAGCATTGACATTACTGTAATCATTGCTATATCATCACTATAAGAGAGAAAAAGAAAAAGAGCTGCAAGCATTTTGGTTAAAAAATAAAGAGTATATAAAGATGTCTTTTACATTTAATAAATAGCACCAAAATCCTCTTCTCAGCTTTATTTTATATATTACATATGTACCAACCCAACCAATATGTCTTCTTCCAACGCCAGCCAGCAGAGAGATAGAATATCTACACAGCAATACTAATGTGATCAATGTGTCTTGTTTTTTGATAACTACCAGAAGCTGCAAAACCACAAGAGAATTTACAGAGGAGATTCAGCAACAATGACTGAAATTGACCAGTCTATTCTGGATGATGTTGACATGTACCATGACAAAAATGATATTAGTAATGAAGATGAATCTGACAGCAATTCAGGTAATGAAAAGAGCTGTAATTGTATTATTTATTTTCCAATTACTAAATAATGTATTACAGAATATACTATGGAGTCTATGGAGCTTAATAATACTATTTCATATAAGTGCGCATGTAATTTTGAGGACAGTGAGGGTGAAGCTCACATTTACGACAGCAGCCGAATCAGTACAAATACTTTTACCAAGGCCGAGTTGATGAGTATTCATCTGTCTCAATTGATGCTACAGCATAGAATTGCTAGAGCAGCATATAGAGACATTGTTCAATTTATAAACACTGTCATCCGAGACCATGACGATATAATGATGGGTAAAATATTATATTTTCTGTTACCTTGTACTTTAATTCCAGATTACTAACATGTAGTGATATCGTTTTTTTTTAAAACCTGGGGCTAAGATCAGTCATGGCAAAACTGTTGATGCTTTGCTCAAGTCAAAGTCAAGTGTCAAGGGCCATGAGTATGATGTCTGCTCTAGTGGTTGTTGATTGTATGGCATTAATGATGACCAGGAATCTTGTGTTGACTGTGGCAAACCGCAATACAAGACTGATCCCGATCAAAGTCAGACACCAGCCGCCAGTATGAAACTTATGTCAGTTGGGGATATGCTTTCTCAAATGTTGGCAGATCCAGCCACAAGAGAACTTCTCTGTTACAGAGCAAACTGGGAATCTGTAGCTGGTCAGCTAACCAACATTTTTGATGGTGACAATTATAAGCAGTTGGTGCAGCAGGGCCTGTTCTCCAATCCCGATGATATTGCCATTGGGCTTTATACTGATGGGTTTGTCAATCAAAAGAAAGGTAAAAACTCATATACCATCATCCATTGCATAATATTCAACCTAGACCCATCCATCAGGTAATTAATTAATTTATTACTATTTATTATTATTATTACATTTTTTAAAAAAAAATTTACTAATAAAATACTTAGATATACCAACAAATACCTTTTGCAACTGGCAATCTTGCCTGGCCCCAAGAAGCCAACTCATTTGGACTCCTTTCTTATACTCATCATCAATGAATTGCGAGATCTTAAGGCACATGGCTTGGTTGTCAAGCACAATGGAGTGGAGCTTTACAGATCCAAGGTCTATCTGCTGCTTGCTTTTGGCGATATTCCAGCTGTAGCTGATATGGCCCACATTGGTTCTCATACAAGTTTATTTGGTTGCCGTTTTTGTGAGATTAAAGGCAAATGCCCTACTAACAGACGGCATGGCATGTACTTTGATGACATTTCTGCCTGGTTAAGACCTTTGGAAGACTTCAAAGTAGGCAACCCTGTAAGTATACAAATGTTCAATTAGCCATCTTTTTTTCATACTAAATAACTGCTTGTAATAGTCGAAGAACATATACCAGCCGAGCATATATACCCAACTCTCAACCTTCTCTGGATCATCATTTTTTGCATTAGATGAACTTCATTTAATTGCAAGAGGGATTGGAAAGTTTGTGTATGACCTGATTACCGTCACTCTCACAAAGGAAACCAAATTTTATTATACCCATCCAGACAATACCCTCAATACCACTGAATACCCTTTTCATATACCAAGAGCAGACCTTGTAACAATTGGAAACTGTATCACCAGCTCACGAAAATATATATTCACCTCATTTCAAGGCAGTTTTGACAACGTATTTGCCAAGATCGATGGTACTCTCACAGTGGACTGGCTTGACTTTCTCTTATACCTTGTCCCCACTTTGTTTGTGCCTTATTTACCAAATAGGGCTGTCAAAACAGCTCTATTATCTCTTGTGAAAGGTTGCGCACTTGCCTTGCAATAGACGTTGACATCAGAATTGCTTGATGAGATGGAGTTGTAAGTTATTATACGTCTCATATATTATCATTACAAATAGCTGATTGTTACCATTTTTTAAATATTAATAATAGATACTTCAAGCACTGGCACTCGTTTTTATACCAACAAGTCCAGAATAATACCCTGTCTCATAGTGTTTTCCGACCAGTTCAACATTACCTGGTCTATATACCCTATATCATCAAGCAGCGAGGCCCCCTGCGATGCTACTCCACTCGCTCAATGGAGAGAGTAATTGGCGTCTTCTCCAAATTGATAAAGTCCAAATCAAAGGGTGGCCGAAATGCCAGTTTTCTCGTCGAGCGATTTGCAATTCACAATTGTACCAGCACGGCAATCAGCATCTGTGATGAAACCAACCTCATTCGGCCAAAGCCATATGGAAGAGAGAGCTACATGGACCTTCCTAATAATCCTAGTGGTGCGCAGTTGTGGGAGCCATTTCATCAGTTTGTTAATTTGAATGATGATTTGGTGGAAGGTGTAAACGGCCCTAGTATGAAGGAAGCTTTATTGAAATACTACCGGAGAACAACAGGCTTGACTGGCCACGAGTTTGGTGACTCTGTTGTTGTTGTAGCTGCACATCTGTGGATGGACTCGACTGTATATTCCTCATGCATGTACCGAAGAAAGAAAAACGAGACCAGCCATGGCAACCATTACGTGATGTTTACTTGCCCCTATAGAAAGTAAGTATAATATTTTTTGATATACAATCAAAAGTTGCTTACATTCTATTTATTTATTTATTTTAGCAACCTTAATGTAATTGTTCACAGCTGGCTCGTTGGTACAGTACAGTTCTACTTTCAGTATGTATATTTCCATGGCTTCCTACACTTTTTTGCTTTCATGGAGGTCATGAAGGAATATGACGCGGCTGGTCATGACTCATCAGTACCTATCGTCAAACAACGGTCACAAAGCACCCATACACTAGGCCACCAAACGCAACTGACTTATGCAGTTATAAGTGTAAATGACATTTGTCATCAAGTTGGTCTGGTCCAATACCCACCGAATGGAAACAAGTTTTATGTAATCGCGCCCTATTATATCTTTAACAACAACATATGCATTACTAAAGGCAATCTTTCCATTCTGTAATCCTTTTTATTTTTATCTTATTTTTCTATATGCTCTATATTCTTATATCTTTTATATTTTTTATATCATCCTTGTATCTTATATTCTTTTTTTAATTTTCTCTATTTCTTATGTTTTTTTTAATCTCTATATGCCCCGTCTTTCTTTTCTTCTTTATATACTCCGGTTTTTTTTTATTCTCTATACATCTTATGCTTTTCTCTCCATTCCCTATATGCTCTATACGCCATTACGCGATTTAAATAAAATCAAATTGCCAATTCATCAAGATAAAAAGAATATCTAAAAAAAAGAATATAGTTTAAAAAATAAAAAAATGGCAGTTATGTTACCATTTCGTTCACACATTCCAAAAATTATTAATCTTAATAATTGTTGACATCTTTGATATTTAATAAAACATATATTTTAATACTCAAAGTGGTCATTACAACTTAAAAACATTTTTTACAGTATTGAAAATATTGTACAGCAACAAAAAAAGTGTTTTCATGTTACTTTTTTAAATTGCTACAAATGACATTACCATCTTACAACAAACGGCGGAGATTTTATTGGGTTTCGACCAAAAAAATGGCAGTTATGTGCCTACTTTTGGCCCAACTGCCATTCATCTTGCCGTAGTGTATTGGTACAAAAAAAAATTTAAACTTGAAACTGCACTGCTGATGTGGAGTGCAGGACTTTACAAGGACACTCTCACTTCCAAACGGACTGGGTTGGCTCTATTGTCACTGTTGTCTCAGTTGTCTGACGTTTTGCTCCTGCTGGATTGTTCAACAATGATGTGTCAGACTCAGTTATCAATTATCTAGGACGACCTCTCCCACGCTTGCTTGGGGTGATTACTGAAGACAATCTATGGGATTGGCGTCGTCTTTTGTTGTCTATTCTTTTCCAGTATTTATGTATTGGTTACGGTAAATGAAATTTATGGGCAGATATCTATGAATTTTTTCTTTCACCCAGTCCTTTCCACTTAACCAAAAACAATCTAGATTTACCAATATCTTTATGATTGCCAACTTCATCCACTTCGACAAATTCAGCTTCTATGGCCATTTCATCAATATTTACTATTTTTAGTTCCAAAAGTGTATAATTTCGAAGCAACAACTCATTAGTTTCGTCTTGTAAGACATAATTGTTGCTTTTTGTTTTGTGAACTACAATAAATGGACCTTCGAATAATGGGGACAGCTTAGTGTCCCTGGATGGTAGACATATCATCACCATCTGTCCTATAGGAATATTAATCAAGAAATGTTTTTGATTATACTTTCAATTATATTTCTTCATCAAATGCATCGAGCATTCTTTGATAGCTGGAAACACAATGGATAACATTTTTGATGCGTGCTGGATAATTTCTTCTTTGCTAATCTCTTGACACATTGTTTTATCTGTTACTCCTTCTTGAGAGTAGTCTCCAATTGGATTCACCTTGAACGCAAGCATCAATGAAAAAGGACTAGACCCTGATCTGGATCGCACTTCCATGTTGCAACACAATTGTGCAGTAGGTAATATTTCATCCCAATTTCTAAAATCCTGACCACATAACTTCCGAAGAGTATTAGTAATCATCTTTATGCTTGCCTCTGCAATGCCATTACCTTGCGGGTAGTATGCAGTAGAAAACTTGTGTTTCATGCCCAGCACCTCTGTAATAGACTGCATTAGGCTGTTATGAAACTCACAGCCATTATCAGACTGTACAAAACGCCCAACAATCGCAATTTCATAATCTCCAAATATGCTTACCAGCATCTTTGTGACAGTATCACTCTGTTTGTCTGATAGCGGTCTTGCAATAATGTAACATGTTGCAACATTCACAATCACAAAAATATATAGATTCTGATTTTCTGTTATGGCAAATGGTCCAGCTAGGTCCATAGCAATGTGGTCGAATACATCTCAAGCAATAATGCTCTTTTTTGGATTATAACCTCTCTTAACTATGGTATGCTGTGCACATAGAATGCATTTTGCTATGACATCTTTACAATCTTTGTACATCGATGTCCAATACACTCCATCACTCAACAGTGACTTGACCACTTCTTCTATTCCAAAATGTCCCATCCTGTGAGCATCTTCTACCATTTTTGTACGATCCAGTAAAGGTGAAATCATATTATCTAGCATAGCATTCTTAAATTGCTTGCTATTCAGTTTTACAGCCAAGATATGGATATCTTGATCTTTATTGTATATCACTCTTCACTTGGCAACTATATTGTCTTTTGTTGTCATCATCCCATCATTAGGAACAGAAGTGTCTAAATTTTGTCTCTTAATCATAATATACTTGAGCATTTTTTTATCACTTTATCTTCCTTCTGTTTTTGTTGAATATCCTCTTGTATTGGAGGATACAATCGGCTAAGTGCATTTGAAAGTGTGTTTTTCACTCCTTTTACATATGTGATCTTCAGTCTCCCATATTCATTAAGAGTATCCACATAATTTTGTAAATTGCTAGACAAATAACTACTGGAGTACAGATATACTAACGCTGAATGATCTGTGTGGATATCTAGGTTCGGATTGCCCAACAGCAGGGGTCTAAATTTTTCTAATCCAAATATGATTGCATATATTTTGCATCTGTTAGTAGATCACAATCGCTGATGCTTATTCAATGATTTGGAAATGAACGCTATATGTTTGGTATGCCCATCATCTGCCTTTTAATACAAAATGGTTGACACACCATAGAGAGACGCATCAGTTTTCAAATAAAACTTCTTGCCCATGTCTGATGCATGCAATACTGCGCTAGATAAGAATATCTTTTTTATAGTGTTAAGATATTTGTGAAGTTTTATAGAATAAAATCAACAGTACAAAAGATTGAGACATATATAAGAATACTTTGAGACTGTATATAGGTTGTCTTTATTAAAGAATACAAAGTTGTCCTTTTTATATCAAAACACAATCTGCTTTGTCAGTCACATCTTAATTTCTTAAGTCTGAGTTCATTTAGATATTAGAGAGCTGGTACTGCTATGTTTATAATTTAATCTAATTTCAATGTCCTCATATTAACTCAGTGCTTACTGAGCTGTCATAATTACAGTACTTACTGTAATTAATTATTGGTCTTTGTTGTGAATGAGTATTGATTACTGCTGAATCTGAGAGTAAGACTGAAGGATAAAATAATATCCTCAGCTATTCCAGTCAAACGGATCTCCCTTTATGATATTATCTAATACACAGATCATCATACACATAATTGATTATTTATTATTATCACCATGACATGGGATATACAAATACATATACATTATATATATGGCATCATTATATTTCATCTACATATTTCTTTTATTATACAAATACTTAATTGAGAGACTACAACTACAACTATCTAATATTATGAAACATTACCCGAGTATCTGGGTCGGAATACTAAAATATTACCAATAGCATAAATGCTCTTCTTTACCAAAACTCTTGGACTGATCTGACTGGAGAAGTATCATATCAATTGGTCTTTCCGGATCTTTCCAGAAGAACAATACTCCTGGAAGATGACTCATCGTGATAAAGATTACTTAAGCACACACTGAATTACAAATTAGAAAAACATATAAATATCAGTAGATAGTTCCGTGTAGAAAGACAATCGAATTTTATATTTCTTTACTTTTCTTTTGAAATAAACAACCTACACAAGTTCTCACGAATTCTTTCGTCTATATTATATTTTGCTTTATTTTCTCCCCACAACATTTTTTTTCGTGAACTACAATGAACTCTCCTGCTGACTTGTTTCCCGCTGGTTTGACCCCTGTTCCTGAGGAGGCTACCTTGTCCCCCATGTCTGCGGATGAATTATTCTCTGACTTGAGTGAGCCCGTCCTCTTTCCGGATGCTGCCCCTGGTTTTGGTTCCGTTTCTGGTTCTGGTTCCCCTCCCGTTGGTAGAGAAGTAGCAACTGCTTCCTCCTGTGTGGCCGTTCTCAAGGCTGAATTGGGCAACCACATCGAGGCCTTCAGCGCTGCTCATGTAGCAAACAATGAGCAAGCAGCTGATGATGCACTCCGCAGGATCGAGCGCACAAGATTGGCAATCACTAGCCTTGAAAAGTGCAGCGAGATGCTTGCCTCTCCTGGTACAAACACAGAGAGAGCTGGCCGTGAAGGAGGGTTGACTCTCAACAGAAGAGATCTTCCCAAATTCCAATTGGCCTCCAGTATTATTAAGCCCTTCCCAAATGAAGAGGTTTTTGAATCAGTTGGACATTTCCTACGTACCTTCAAGAATGTGATCGAGTCTTCTTCCTTGGACATCGAGAGAGTTTGGAAGAAATTCCTCCCACTTTGCCTGCCTCACACTGATGACGGATGGGTAGAGATGGATCTTAAGAAGTGTATTGATTGGAAGGCGGCGAAATCATGCTTCAACAAAAGACATGGTTCCAGCTTGGTGTCTCGACGATTCACAGACCAGGTCTTTACAATGATGATGAAGAACACTGAGTCCATCGGTGATTACTCGAAGAAGTTCCTCCGTGCGGTTTACAATGCTGGTTTACCCAAAGACGATGCTCGCATCGCTGATCGCTTCCTTGCCTCGCTGACCTTATCAGTGCAAACACTGGTAAGAGTTACCATGGCCCGCTCTGGTCCCAATGGGGAGTCCAAGCGTGATTGGACTGTAGAGCAGATCACGCAGATCGGCAGAGACATCCTTGGGGATGACAACAGGCTCTATGCTGAGGCGACCCGATTGATTCCTGGTTCCCGTGGGCAACCTGAGAAGAATAACGAGGAACATCCCAGAAAGAAGCTTCACCATTCCAACAAGATAACCAAGCATGAGAAGACATTTTTCTGCTCGCACCATGGAAAAAACCCGACCCATGAGTCCAGCAAGTGTTTTACCTTGATCAACCGCAAGAACAAAGCCAGTAGTTCCAACAGTCGCAATCCTTGCAGACGTTGTGGTGAAAACTACTACCATGGTCATGTCTGCAAAAGCAAGAACAATGAGCCAATTCTCATGGTATCCCAGTCTCCCGCAAAGGATAAGTCTGAGCAGACGCTCAAGACGATCCAGGACAGGATAGATGAAGACATGGAGGAAATATCATTTGAATGTAAGTACCTACTTGACAGAATTGAGAGAAGAATTAAAGCTAATGATGCGTTTAATCTTGTAACTCCAATCATAATAGAGAACCAGAAGTTAATCGGGATGATCGATACAGGCAGTTCCCGCACGTTTATAAATTTGAAATGTTTAAATAACAATTTACAAATAACAAAAATAAATTCTTCAATTGGTTCCTTTAATTTTCTGTCTAAGAATAGTAGTACAAAGAGATTAGGAAAAACTGATCCTTTAAATTTTAAATATATAAATGGCATCACCTTTAAGCATGCACCAGAGGTGTTAGAGTTTAATACGGGTTTTAATTTTGATATCCTCCTTGGAAGAGATATTTTGGCAAAGATGAATATTGGATTAATTAATGTTGCATATGATATTGAAGGAGAATATGTCCATTCAGATAATGCAAAAGACTATGCCGCCATTTATGAAAATCTAAATATTGATAAAGAGAAAAAGTTTGAACCTGATAATTCGCCAGCTGGCACAGCACAGCAACGAGCAGAATTTATGAGCTCTATTAAAGCATCACTGGAGGAAAATAAGAATATTCCCGTTGAGTCATATTGTCCTTTATCAGAATCTATTATTCGTTTACCTACTAAGGAAGGTGCGACGGCTTACAGACGGCAGTATCCTATACCGCACGCTCTAAGACCAACACTTGACAAGCAAGTAAAAGAATGGCTTGAGACAGGAACTATTGTCAAGTCCAAGACCAACACTTCCTTCAACAGTCCAATGTTGCTTGTTCCAAAGAGAAACAAAGCTGGTGAGATTGTCAGTCATAGAGTGTGTTTAGATGTGCGATTGTTAAATCAGATCCTACCTCCCACATTCAATTATCCAATTCCAAAAATTCAAACAATATTTCAAAACTTAAGTGGAAAGAAATTCTTTACCACACTCGACTTATCCAATGCGTATCATCGTTTCAAAGTTGCACCTGAGGATGTACACAAACTGACATTCACTCACTTAGATGGGCAACAGTATAGCTTTATTAAAGGCTGTTTTGGCTTGAAGATGCTTACTTCACAATTTCAACATGTCATGGCTACTTTATTTGATAAGATTGACTGTGTACAGAATTTTGTTGATGATTGTATTGTTGCCAGTGAAACATTTGAACAGCATGTCAAAGACGTAAAATTAGTTATTGAAAAATTGTCATCCGCGAAGTTGATTCTGAACTCGGAAAAGTGTGTCTGGTTTCAACATTCAGTGAGATTGCTTGGTTTTGTCGTCAATGAGACAGGCACCAAGGTTGATAAGCGAAAGTTGACAAATGTTGACAAATGGCCTATTCCTACAACTGCGAAACAGATTCAGCAATTCATGGGTTTGATCAATTACTTCAGAGATTATATTCCTATGATTTCGAAGGTAGCTGAGCCTATTTCACGTTTGAGTCATGCCAAGAATGTGTCTGGTCAATGGACAGATGAGCAGACGAAAAGCTTTAAAGCACTAAAAGACATATTGCACCAAGATTTAATTCTTCATTACGCAGATATGTCACGTGAAATGTATGTGGCCACAGATGCATCCCTTTATGGAGCAGCTTGCTTATTGTTTCAGCGAGATGAACAAGGGCGTGATAAATATATCAGCTTTGTATCAACTTCCTTAAGCCCATCGCAGCGACGATGGAGCACAACTAAAAGAGAATTATATGCAGTCGTTTTGGCGCTTGAAAAATTCTGTCCATTTCTGTGGGGCCGACAGTTCACAATTTTTACTGATCATCGAGCACTCATTTATCTCCACACTCAAAAAATCGCTAATCCGATGATGATTGGCTGGATTGAGACACTCCTTGACTTTGATTTTAAAGTGGTCCATATTCCTGGTTTGTTGAATAAACTACCTGATTTGCTAAGCCGCTTGTATCCTCCAGAGGATAGTGACAAGCTGGTGGAGGATGATGGATTGAGAAAAATCAGAACAAATGACTTACAAGCTAAAAACAGAGTTATTGTTCAAAAGAAAAAATATAGTAAAGACAGAGTGCTAAATGTACTTGCAACGCAACTCGTCGAAAATGCTTCAGAGTCGTCCGACTATATGTCACCTCCTGAAGAAAAGCGTAATGGCTTACTAAAAGAAGCACATTCGTTTGGTCACTTTGGAAGTCAAGCTATAGTGAATGATCTTCATTCACAAGGCTTACACTGGACTAATATATATGAAGAGGCTAAAGAGATTATTCGTTCTTGCCCTGAATGTCAGAAGCACAATATTAGCAAGAAAGGCTATCACCCATTGACTAATGTTGTAGCATTCCGACCATTTGATCATATTGCAATTGACTTATGCGGTGAATTCCCTGTATCAGAGGATGGACACACGTACATGTTAGTTCTGGTTGATGTATGCTCCAAGTACATTATCTTGAGACCACTGCCAAACAAGAACTCAACAACAATAGCTAAAGCATTGATAAAGATTTTTGGAGATTATGGTTTTCCCAAAGTAATGCAAAGTGACAATGGTCTGGAATTTAGAAACTCTTTAATGTCAAGCCTATCTAAAGAGCTTGGGATTGATCGAAGATATTCGACAGCATATCACCCACAAGGAAATGGTATTGCCGAAGCCAGTGTAAAAATTGCAGAGAATACTGTACGTAAAATGATGAGAGCGAACAGCAATGACTGATGTCACTATCTACCGATTGTTCAGCTGTGTATCAATAGACATATTCCTCAAAAAACACTAAGTGCGCCGTTTTCATTAATGTATGCTCGCAGAGTCAATGTGCCTGATGAGTATGGTGACAAAGATAAATACTCTCTTCCAAAAGCCACAGTTACAATTGATGAGCTAGAGAAGCAGATTGATCATATGAAAAATATTATATTCCCTGCCATTAACGAACGTGTGTTAAGGATTAATGAGGAATTAAAAAAGAAATATGATCACAAAAATATCCTAATCGACATCCCCAAAGGAACACACGTTATGGTCAGATTACCACATCGATCAAATAAATTGGCACCTATTTATGAAGGTCCATATACAGTGGTTCGAAAGAATAAAGGAGGATCGTATGAGTTAAAGGATGAGCAAGGTGAATTGTTACACCAAAATTATACACCCTCAGAACTCAAGATGGTCACCATCGATGAATCAACAATTGAGAATGAGCTCTACAAAGTTGAAGACATTCGAGATCATCGTGGTACTGCTGGTCAACGAGAATATTTGGTCAAATGGGCTGGCTATGGCGAACGCGCTAATACATGGCAAAAGGCTGAAGACTTTACCGATTCCACAATTGTACAAAAATATTGGAAGAAAGTTAGAGAGTTGGAACGTTTAGAGAATGAGAGAGCTGAAGACTTGATTAACAAAAGTGCATCCTCAAAAAAGAAAATAGTTCACACTTCAAGACTAAATGGTAAAAGTAACAATAACGATGAGCACAAGAAAAGAACACTTCCTACCACTTTGAGTAGAGAAGAAAGATTACACAAAAGAAGAGCAACAAAAAATTAAAATAACAAAAAATGAACACGTAATCCACAAAGCTGAGTTTACAGTGTAGATCTCCATAAAGTACAAAAATTATGTGCATGATTGACTATAATAAAATAAGCAATTGGCCAGACAATGAAATAGTAAATGAAATGTTTTATTGCCGAATCAACAAAAGGTATTGTTGAATCTGGTGGAGGATAATGTTGTGAATGAGTATTGATTACTGCTGAATCTGAGAGTAAGACTGAAGGATAAAATAATATCCTCAGCTATTCCAGTCAAACGGATCTCCCTTTATGATATTATCTAATACACAGATCATCATACACATAATTGATTATTTATTATTATCACCATGACATGGGATATACAAATACATATACATTATATATATGGCATCATTATATTTCATCTACATATTTCTTTTATTATACAAATACTTAATTGAGAGACTACAACTACAACTATCTAATATTATGAAACATTACCCGAGTATCTGGGTCGGAATACTAAAATATTACCAATAGCATAAATGCTCTTCTTTACCAAAACTCTTGGACTGATCTGACTGGAGAAGTATCATATCAATTGGTCTTTCCGGATCTTTCCAGAAGAACAATACTCCTGGAAGATGACTCATCGTGATAAAGATTACTTAAGCACACACTGAATTACAAATTAGAAAAACATATAAATATCAGTAGATAGTTCCGTGTAGAAAGACAATCGAATTTTATATTTCTTTACTTTTCTTTTGAAATAAACAACCTACACAAGTTCTCACGAATTCTTTCGTCTATATTATATTTTGCTTTATTTTCTCCCCACAACAGTCTTATTGATTTACCATAAGTAAAATAAATAAATTATTCATTTGTTCTTGTAATGATAGCTGTTTTACTATAATAATAGGAATATGTTCTTAGATGTAATAAATTCAACAACCAAGTGTCTGGATCACCACAGTATTCTGTGTGTTTTTTGTTCCATTTTTCTTTAATATTTGGCTCATATCATAATTGATCAAGTAGAGCTGTTAATTTTGAACTCATGGGTATGTAGTCTCTCATGAAGGTGATAGTTCCCATGAGTTTTCTCACTTGCTCAGCTGATTTACAGATAGGCAATTCATTTATATTGGATAATTTTCGAAAATCGATCTTTGTAATATCAGGTCCAACTACAAATCCCAATGTAAATATCGTTGATTGAAAGAATTTACTTTTTTTGGTATTGAGTTTCAAATTCGCTTTACATGATTTGTTTATATTCTGGTTAACCAAAACAGCATGCTGAGCAGAGGTACTGAATAAAACACAATCGTCCACATAAGACTCTACCCCTTTGATATCACCCAAAATTATTTTAATAACTTGGCAGAAAAGGCTAGTGATTGTTTTCAGACCAAAACAACACGCCTGCTACTTGTAAGTTTTGTTTTCAAAGGTGAAGGATAACACCTCTTGGTCAGCTTCTTTGACTTTGAATGAATTATACGCATTTTTCAGATCCAATTTCAAAAACACCATTTCTGGCTGAGACACCTTTTGAAAAATATTATGGATAGAGCTTATGACATAATCTTTTTTATATTCATCAGAAATATTTAGATTAATTTGGCACAGATCTTATACAATACGAAGTTTTGTCATTGTTCCATCCTCGTCTTTCTTTGGAATCACTAATAAAGATGAATTATAACAAGTGCTGGGCTCTGTCAGAACAACTATTTCATTGGTCAACCATTCTTCCAATCGTTTTCTTATTTCAGGAATATACTTGTATGGTAATAGATACTGTCAAATATAACAGTTAGATTTATTCACCTTCATCAGTATATTTACTTCCAAGGTGGGCACATTGCAGAATGTTCCTGATTTGATAGTCTCATTGGTTTTTATGGCTTGGCTAAATTCTACAAAAAAATTTTCTCCTTCCTCTGATGATACATAATCACTGTTTTCTGGGTTATAAAAATTATTGCTATCAAAGTTCAAGTCCTTTGGCTTTTCACTGTTGTCTTCGAATTCCAGAGGATAACAATATGCAATTCCAGTCATTCGTATATCTAATTTCTTAAAGATATCTGTTTCTAACAGTATGTCTGCTTGTGTAGCAATATGATCAGGAAATTGTATAACTTCAAATTTATATCTACAACAATATGGTGCATCCTCATACACAACAGCTAACAGATTTATATATCCTAACTTTTGTGCATAGCTACTGCTGTCTGCAGCAAAATATTTTATAACTCCTTGTATTTTATTGATGGTTACATTTTTAAAGAATTTCTTGAGTGTATATAAATTTAAACAGCTTGTGTCCGTCCCAGAATTATACATGGCCATGAGTTTTACTCCTTCTATAACAATTAGTGTGAGTATAATCTTGTGATTAACTTTCTTATCAATTATTTTAGTCTCAGACTTACAATCATCATTCTTAAAAGCGTCAATAAAATCTTCCATGCTCATTGCCTCCTCCAATTGTTATTATTGCAGTTGCTGATATCCCTGCTGACTGTTTTTAGCTTGAGGAGCCCACTTGCTGGCGTGTAAGCCACTCTTGGCAAATACCATATCTACTGATATGCTGTTATTGCCACCCTTGTTGCTTGCCCTGTTGGACTTGTAATTGTTATTATTGTTGTTGTTGTTGTTGTTTCTCTTGTCTGAGAAGGCCGAGTAATACTTCTTGCACTTGTGACCCCAAGAAAAGTTTTCCCCGCAGTAATGACACAGATGGTGATTGTGCGAGATTCCTGCCTGATTGTTGTTGCCATTGTTGTTGGTTGCTCTAAACGGGTAGTTTTTTGCCCTGAGATTCCTGGGTTGGACTAGTACTTCTTCCTCAATTTCTTCATAGAAATCTTGTCTTATCTTCTTGTTCTTGTGTCCTACAGAACACATATCTTTCACATAATTAGTTTGAGGCATCTCAAATTCCGCATTCTACATCATTACAGACTTACCAGTCAACACTCTCTTCTCAGAATTATCTCTCACAATTGCAATGTGCTTTGTTGCCTTGTCAACTTGTTTAACAGTCATCAAATAGCTGTTCTTATTGTTTTTTGAATTCAAATTAGTAAAGATAGCATTGTGCCAGTTTGTTGGCAAGCTTTTCATAAAAATCTTGCCTAACAAGTGATCCTCACTACTAATTCCAGCCAAAGACGCTGCCTTTAGAAATCTCATTAAATATTTCTCAACACTCTCCTTGTTGTCAATCTTTAAGGCAAGCATGGTCAGGCGTGTCTTTCCTCTGGCAATTAAGGAATTGAATTTCTCTTCTATCAGTTTCTTGGCCTCAGATCATGAAGCTGTCACACTTAGTTTTTTCTTAACCCAGTAAGTAAATGAAGGAGAGAAAGCTACATTGATGAAGCTTTTCCATCTGGATTCGCAGTCGAGACCTGCTGTAGTTATGAAAAACTCATAGGCAGAGTTAAAAGCATCCACATCATCATAAACTACTTTTGAAGAAAAATATAGTTTGTTCATATTACTCAACTAGAACCTGATAATGTGTTCCAACGAGAATGTGTAGTTAACAAATCTGCTTGTTTCACAAGAAATTATTCTGTCACCCTCAGAAACTCTATTGACTCCTCCTGTCTGACCGCTATGTTGGGCTTGCAACAAGAACAGTCATTTATTGAACTTGTCAATTTTTTTGACAAATTGTTCTTTCCTGAGATCATTATGAAGGTCGAATTCATCAAGAGTGATATCATTCAACTCCTTACAGAGTAAGATAAGCTTGCTCTATATAACTTGGATTGACCTTTGGGTACGAATTTCTTCATTCTTGCTGATACTATCCTTGTTGATCCTAACCTCAGATACCTCTCTGTTAAAGGTAAGAACCTCCCTCATATCAACATCTTCAGTTACAGATAGCTGAGCTACCTGACTATTGAGGTTGTGCTCATCAATTGAGTTGCTTAATTCATTGTTTTCCATGTTGTCAGATGTTTTGTTTAAACTTTAGCAATGTAACAACTCGAAATTGAAAAAAAGTATAGCAAAAACTTTAAAATACAAGGTCAATTTTATTTATTATTTATTTCAAAGTAAAGAAAATACCAAACTCTGTCAAAATAATTTTCTTGTTCATTAAATAACAAATTGAGTACCAATGTTATGACTAATAATTATTCTACTAAGCCTCTTATGAGCTGCATGAGTGATGGTTATGATTAAACGTTACTTGATATTATCTATATAGTGGTATTTTACCACAGAGTTAACTATGGGAAAGAAATGTTTAATAGAGTAAAGGATTTAGCTAAAGAGAAATTTACTATAATAAATTTACTAAGAGATAAATAAAAGAGAAAATTTGAACAAAATAATAAAATAAAAGGGGATGGTCAATCTTCCATGAATATTTGACAAAAAAATAAATAAAACAGAAGAAATTTCACAAGAGAGATCAGAGATAATAGATAGTGTCTTGAAGAAAACTTGTATCAGAAAAATTCAACAATTGTTTATTGATTGATTTTAGAGAGATATTTATACTATTTTATAGATAAAATATATGGTAAAAATAGGCTAGATAAAATTTGATGAGATAATCATAAATAAAAATATAAAGAAAAATAACTATATAAATATTTTGTCATAAAAGAAGAAATAAATGAAGTTATAATATATAATGACAAGAAAAAAAATATCGGAAAGAAGTATGTTATAAATAAAGGGAAAACTATTCAGTTAATAATTTTGATAAAGTAGTTTTTGAGAGGAAGCATCACATTTAGTGTGCAGGAATAAAATAAAAAGAAAAGGGAGAAAACAATTTTAGAAAAAATAAAAGAGAAAGATTTTAATTTTCAGAAAATTGGTTTTTGGAAAAAGACGATTTTGTGAAAATGGAAGAAAGAAATTAAAATTAAAATTTTGAAGAAAAACTAAAAGAGGTTTTCAAAAGAAAGTCTGAACTTGGTAGAATTTGGTTTTTTAGACAAATGTTGATCATATGTTTACATTGCATAACATAACTATGTTCTCCTCAGGTTAAAGATTATTTTTTATTACAGAGATATATTGCTGGCGATCTATAGATTATATAGTATCTCAAGTACAAAAGAAAAAGCAAAAAAAGTCCAAAAGGATCACAAAAAGACAAAAAATAGAAAGAGGAGAAAAGAACTAACACTAATAAGCTGAGAGTTGTACTCTACTCTCCACTTTGCAGCTGTGTAAAAATGTTGTAACAGTGAAAGAGAGGAGATAGAAGTGCAAGCAAGCAGCAGTTCATGCATGAAAAGACAAAAAGAGAAAGCAAATTAGATAGAAAAGAAAAAAAGGCAAGAAAAAGAAAACAAAAACTAGCTAAGTCCAGCCCAAAGAGTACCAAAGTGAGTTTCATGAGTGTAGTCACCATCAGAGTTACAAAGCTTGTCAAAATGCCAGAGAATAGTAAGCAGTGCTACCCAATAAGAGGGGCATGGAGCCTGACTAGAATTTGGGAGAGCAGTTATAGCAAAATCAATTGAATTATAGTTTTGATCAGATGGAATAGGAAGACAGGCCAACAAATGGGCAGGAACCAAAGAGCAGACAGCAAGATGACGACGTGAGGTATGGTCAGTACCACAAGGGCAATCCTTAGGAGTGCCAGGCAACCAACCCATTTTCCAGCGGACAAGGCGGCTACGTTCCACCCTAGTTGCAGACAAGAACAGAATAGGATCGACTTCCAAAAGAGGGTGGCATGCTAGGAACAAGACTTGGTTTGAAGACAATTGGAGCTGATCTGTTTTGAACTGTCGAAAGGTTTCGAAGTGATGTTTGAGAGCTTTGCCACTATGAACATTTAAATCAATAGGGATGCTTTGAAGGAGAGTATTATGACGAAGAGTGACAAGTGATGAAGACTGAGAGTGGTGATGGTGAAGAAGAGACAAAAGGCAGCCAGAGGGAAGGTAGTGAGTACAAATACAAAACTTTGTTATCAGCACATCAGCACGGAAACTCATACTAGGAAGGTGACATATATGTTTGAGCACAGTTGTAGATAAGGTTCGGTGCCCACCAACAATCATGCGCAAACATTTATCTTGGATTTTCTCAAGCTGGATAGTATCAGTTCTTTTCAGAGGGAGAATAGCCAATCCATATTCAAATTTTGGTCTGATAAAGGTCTTATACAGACAAGAGCTGAGAAGCAGAGAGAATCCAGACCGGCATGCTCCAACTACATTCAGTGTTGCCATGGTTGCCAGGGCTCCAGAACGACGATGAGTGACAATAGAAGGCCCATGAATATCTTTATTGCGAAAGGGAACACCAAGATATATAAATTTCTTCACTGCAGGAAGAATTTCATCATATAGAGATAGATCTGGATGGTTTGCAGAACGAGAAGGAGGGTAAATGATAGCACATTTAGATGGACTCCAACGAAAACCAAGAGCAAATGAGTGTTGGGTGACCAAATGAAGCATAGTCTGAACGTCACAAGCAGAACCAAATATTGCCACATTATCAGCAAAAAGAAGTGTATTTATTGGCATTGATGAGACTGCGTACTGGTAGCTGTCCACACCTGAAGGAGCAAGAAGAGACTGATATGCATCCAATGAGGAGGGAGATGATGATGGTACATAGGTAGAAGTGAGGGGAGATGCAACTGTGCGGAGGAGAGCTGGCAGGGAGTTGATATAAATGGAGTAAAGATGAGGACTAAGAACTGAACCTTGGAGAACGTCTGTCTTGGGTGAAAATGAATGTGAGATGAAATTTCCAAGAAGAACTGAGATAGACACATCATCAAACATATTGACCAAAAGTCCAAGGAGAGCAGGTGGTATGGATCGTCTGAAAAGGGCATCCCAAATTACATGCCAATCTACAGTGTCATATGCTGCTTTGACATCCAAGAAAGCAACTACTGGATAGTGGTGATGACAATGAAAATGAGCTTTCATCAGGTCATGCAGACAGAGAGCTTGATCAAGAGCACCATGGCGAGGACGAAATCTACCTTGGGCAACATTCAGAGGAGGAGAGAACTTATGCAACTCAGGAGCTATGCATATCTCAAACAACTTGCGCACCACAGAAGTAAGGGAGATGGGACGGTAGTTCGCAACATTCTGAGGGTTACCCTTTTTAAATATAGGAAATACTTGGGCTTGGCACCAGAGAGAAGGAGTGTATGACCATTGCCAGCAGATGGTGAAAAGACAGGCAAGGAGAGGTGAGATGTGAGACCGAATGGGCTTTAGAATTTCTGCACGGATGTGGTCAGGACCCGGCGCCTTGCAGTTAGGCATAAATTGCATGAAGGCTTCCACCACTGATGAGGTGAATGGGGAGTCAACAGAGGCAAAAGGCATGAGAGAGATGTTGAGTGGTGGTGGTGAAGGTCGAATGTCAGGAAGAATATGTCCACTATAGACAGATGCAAGATAGTCACACATAACTGTTACTGCGACTGCTGGGCCATCATCATGTTGAAATGTGTGTTGTGGTTGCCTGCGCCGTTTCAACTGTTTTATCTTAGATGTGGCCTTGTTAAAATCTGAGTTCATTGAGCAGCAAAAAGCATGCCAAGACAAATGATTTGCTGTCTGAACTTGCTGACGAAACTCCTTGTGTGCATGCTGGTGCCGGCTCCACCAATTGATCTTGTCAATGCCACAAGCTCGACGTCATTGCTTGTAACAACCATCTTTATGGTCAGCTGCAGCTTGCAATTCAGGGGTCCAAAACGATTTCCAATATGAGGGGCGAGGGGGGCGAGAACTAATTGAGCTACTAAGAGAGTCATAAATGAGTGCATTGGAAGAGTTAGTAAGAGCATCAATGGGTGGACATATAGTTGGCAGATTCTGAACAAGGTCTTGTAGTGTGGTGAGAAGGGAGGTAGATTTGGTAACAAAGGTGGTGACATATAATGATCTGACATCATCTTCATAAAGACGTGACAGATTCCAAGTTTGGCACATAGGTGGAGGTGCTGGTAGTAAGTGTTGCAGGTCATAAGTAAAGGAAAGTGAGAGAAGTTGGTGATCAGAGCCTAAAGATAGTTCGGTTGCAATGTGTAAAGAAGGGTTGGCGAAGTTGGTGTTGGTGATAAAAAGGTCAATGATGCTGCTGATTTCAACTTCGTTACGAAAGGAAATGTATGTGGGTGTGCATAGTGAGAGAACTCCATTGAGGACAGTTAAAGATCGTTCTTCAAGCCATTGCTCTAAAGCTATACCACGAGGGTTAGATGCATAGTCACCAGTTACTGAACCAAGGCGTGCATTAAAATCTCAACATATAATGGTATCATCAGTTAAAGTAATGGCTGAGAGAATATCAAGAGCTTCATGAGTGGGCATAGAAGGTGGTAAGTAAAGGCATATAAGTCGAAGGGTACCAATCTTGACAGCAAGAGCATAGTTGTTGGGCATAGGTATTTGTGTGACAGCATAAGGACAGGAAGGAGAGACTAACAATGACACCCCCATTCATTCGCGGTAGTTGCCAGCAACAGGAGATCCATAGAGATGAAACTGAGACCATGAGGTCGGAAGACGGGCTGGGGATAAGAGCCATGTTTCAGTTATAAAAAGCATATGAAGAGATTGACAGTGGTTGAGCACGTCTTTAATTGCATGAGGTTGAAGTCCATTAGCATTCCACAATCCTATTAAAAGGTCACTCATTCAATCATAGCAGTGAGAGCATCAAGGGCACATTTTTTGTTTGGAGCATCACCAAAGTGCTCAGCTACTGGTCGGGCAGGAATTTCCTTAAGTCCAATCCATCCTGACTGGACAAAGAAGTGAGCAACTGGCAGAACTAAGTGAGAATGCAAAAACTTGAGAGCTTGGAGATAGTGGGCATTTTAGAGAACCAAAGCCTGGGTTTCAAGACCAGAGACAGACAAGTTAACAAACTTGGGATCAGCAACATTTTTAGGATCAAGTGGATCAAAGTTGTTGACAAGAGAGACCTTAGCACTAGCTAATTGGGACTTAAATTCCTCAAGATACTGCACATGAATAAGAATTCCAATAACTCCACGAGCAGAAAAGTTAATATCTAACAGGCAACCAGTGTCAACACCAAGAGTGCGGAGAGAGTAGCGCACTTCACTGTGCGTAATATGACGTGAGCGAGAAATATAAACATATTCAAAACCATCAGGACCAGTTTTGTCAAAGAACAGTCTTTGAGAGGCAGCAACCTGGTAGGCAGAAGGAACTCAAGGTGACTTGGCTGGCAGAATCAAGCTTGTTTTAGTGGCCCAAGTAGAGGCAGCAGTTCCAAGATCTTCAGTTGACTGGGGTGCAGGAAGAGAAGCAGAGCTGGGAACAGGACCAGTCACATTGTTTTGCAACAATTGAGATCAGAGATTGGCATTCTCCTGCAGGACATTAGCTAATTGAGCATGCAATTGGACATTTTCGGCAGCAAGAGATTCCAAATGTGCTGTACGTTCGTTAAGTGCATTGAACTGTGACTGCATACTGGTTAAAAATAGCACAAGTTCAGCTGGCAGACTTTGCATGCAATTATCAGGCAACAATTGCAACATGTTTGGCGATGATCTTGAGATGGCAGCAATCGGCAGAGGAAAAGTGAAAATTGGTGAAAAAATGGCAGGAACGATAGGAAAAATTTTTTGACAATGGATGTGGTGGTGGGAAGGGTAGATGCGTCATGTTTGACAATGGATGCAATGGTTGAAGCAATACTTTGGATGGATTGATGATAGAATTGTATGGATGCAAACTTTGAAAATCCAAAATTTAAAAAAGTAAAATTTACGTAAAAGAACTATATTCTCCTCAATGGTCTAGTGGCTAGGATCCGACGCTCTCACCGTCGTGGCCGGGGTTCAATTCCCCGTTGGGGAACTTTTTTGATTTATTCGTATCCGATTTCTTGTGTCGTTCCCGATCTGGGTTGGTCTTCCTTTTACTATAACAAAGTCAAAAGGTCAAACCCACTGGGGATCAAGGAGTATACATAAAATCAAAGATAGGATAAAAGACACTTTTTATTGGTATGAATTAAATTGTCTTATATATTTTTCTAAACTAATACTGCACATTATCTGCAGTAGCTATTATATTATATTTAAATAAAAGGAGTCATTATACTTTGGTTAATGCTCAGGAAGATGTTACTGCGCATAACGAGATACTGCGATTAACCATCTTCAGATTTTACGGATTCATCAAAATAATGTCTGACAAAGTCTCAATCTGGTATTTCTTTTCTGGCACTTATAGCTAAGTTGCAGAATCAATACCACTGGGGATTGTCAAGTTTTAAGAATAGTTTTTTAGATAAGAATCAAGATGCTTTTTATTAAATATATTTCTTGACTATTTATATAAAATGATAATTGATTTCTGGCTAAAAGAATAACTACAATAATATGTCTTAGATGCCTGTTGTCCAGTAATATCTTCTACAAGTATATTCACCATCTTAAACATCTAAAACATATATGAAAGACCAATCGGCAAAGTCAAGATCTTTTATCCTAAAAAGTCAACTCTTACTGATTGCTTATAACTACCAATTTTGTTCACCGATGTCAACTCTGACATGTCAAAGTTTGATAAGTTTAAATTCTCAAAACTGAAAGCAGTCTTGTATTTACTGGACTTCCCGGATTGTTTTTGGTCCAGCTCATTCTATTGTTATTGTTATTTTTTTTCAGGTACATCTTTCCCTTTCCCTATACTTTTATTTAAAAATAAAACGTTTACACTCATAATTAGCTCCAACCGCACTAAATTCAGCATCAACGAGATCAATGATGACCACATGATCCACATTGCACCCAATTATGAGAGTGGTAACCCCAAAGCAACTGAGACTTTTGCTTACGGAGAAGCCTTTTCTTTTTGGTTTGAGAACTTGGCCAAAAGACACTCGAACTGGAACATGACCAACACTCATGCATCCCAGGCCACCAGAACTGTCAGTCCCAAAGACGTTGTAACAACTGTGTACTTCGTCTGTGACCACCAGGGTTTGCCCAAGAAGGTCAAACTAGTTGAAGACACTGGCAATCAGAAAGCCAAAAGGGTTCAAACCAGATCAATTAAGAATAGCTGCAAGGCCAAAATCACTAAGAAGACCTTGCAAAATGGTAACGTTGTTGTAGACTACTTGTGACAGCATGCTACCCATCAGCCTGAGAAAGTCCAGGACATGGTTCATTCAAAACTACTTGCTAAGATAAAGCAGTGGATTGTGTCCCATGTAGAAAATAACATGGATTGAAAGGCCATCAAGACGCTCCTTCACATTGATTTTCAGCGCTTGGAAGAGGTAGTAAATAGTCTTTCTTTTTATCCAGCTTGCTAACTAAATTGTGTTATAACTTGAAGCTAGTCTTGGCATTTCTAGTTTCCCGATGTCTCTGTGCATCAATGCTCATTTGAACAAGCTTTCAAGAAAAAACGCCATTGATAAGGCAAGTGTCAAGCAATGGATCGAGTTCTTAGAAAAAAAAAAAGAACTATCTGGTTCACATTGTCTTTCATCAAGGTAATGGGCCATATCTTGTTTGGTGGATCTCTCCTTGGCAGAAGAAGGTATATTATTTTATTTAACAAAAAGTTATAATATAATATTACTAACCATTAAGCAGATTCTTGAGTTGGCAAATGAGTGATGCATTGACTCCACTCACAAGACTTGCAAATCCTTGGTGTATTCCAAGAAGCACTCGTATTTGTATATAATTGCTGTAAGAAGCAATGTTACAAACAAGGGTGGTCCAGTCTATTTCTTTGTGACTAATGCAGACTTAATCACAACCTTGTCACAATGGCTCAGTTGGGTTAAATCCAACTGTAGCCTGCGTGTCAAGCGCGTGATGATTGACTGCAGCCCAGTCGAGATTGGTGCCCTAGAGGAAGTCTTTGGCCAGTTGGTTCAGGTTCTTTTGTGCTACTGGCACATCAAGAGAGCATGGGAGATGTACATCAAAAAAGATATAAATTATGTTAATACACTCATTCTTAAATTTTACTAATAATTATTTATATTTTACTAATGCTGTAGGTAAAAATTACTGGAGCCACCCATGAAAGCAAGTGTGAGCAAGATGCAGTTTGGGTAACCCTCAACTTACTGATACATGCCAAAACTAAGGAGGCGTTTGACCAGCAATACGAGGAATTTGTTTCCAAGTTTGCTGGTCATGAGAAATGTGTGGCATACTTTGCCACGCACTGGCATGCTAAGTGTAACCTTTGGTTGATGGCCTGGAGATTGATAAAGCTAATACAATTATAATGTTTTATTTATGAACTGTTTCTACTGTTTTTTTATTAGAATTCCAGATTCCACACGAACAATCTTATTGAATCCTATCACCATATCTTGAAAGCTTACTACTTGGGAAGATCAAAAAACTTCTGGGTTGACCGGTTAGTTTACATGCTCTCCCAAGTAGTTGAGTATGACTATAAACAAGAGGGTCTCAAGATTATGTATGGGTTCAAGAAGCTTGTTCTCACTCATGTTGAGAAGGCTAAGAAGAAAAAGGCTTTTGACGTTGATCACGAGGATGCTCTTTGCATGATTAAAACTGTAGAAGACAACTTGGTAAGAGTATATAACTGATAGTGCATTGATTTCAATCATATCAATATCAATTTTTATTTATTTATTACAGATGTACAAGTGTTGCTCTTTTACTGACAATTCTGTTTGGTATGAGGTCTTGCTTAAAGAGAAAGTTCTGTCAGTCTGCTCCTGTCCAGACCCTAATTATTTGTGCAAACATATTTTTTTGGTCTGCAGAACAATGAGACTTCAATACTCTTTAACTAAAGAGCTTCCTATCATCTAGAACCCAGAAGTTCAGGTAGTTAAGAGAAATGAGGAAAGTGCTGCAGCACAAAATGAGTTGCATTTGCTTGAGCTTGATGAAGTTTCTGAAAGCAGAAAACTTGAAGAGTGGTTCTGGGATAGACGTAACATCCCAGATTTTGAGAGATTGCTTGTCTCTGATAGAAGAAATCGGCGTTGCTTCTCAGCAAAAGTATAAAAAGCAATAAAGAAATAATAAAATTATTTAAACATACTTTTCTGATATTATTTTATGACTTTTTTGATGGAAACATAGTAATAAAAAAAATAAAATTATTGACTTTTTTTTGATAATCTTGAACAAAAAATCAAAGTGCTTTGTAAAACTGCTTTTTTTCTGTTTGACCTGGATCTAACAAAGTTTGGCTGTCTACGTGACTGCTCCCAGTTTTGAGAAATTAAAGGTTTTCGTCAAAGTTGACGTTGGTGACCAAAATCAGAAGTTACAAGTGTCATTTCTGATCTAGGCTATCTTCTAATTTACTGTAAACGTAACTGAATTGATCAAGCTTTAATAATACAGAAGTAAGCAAATAAGAGAGAGAATAAAAAGATGCTTTTAATTATTTTGATTTGGGTTATTTTATATACTTTTTGAAATGATTATTCATCTTTGACTATACTCAAGTAGTGTCTAGTAATATTACAAATTATTATAAGTTGATTACAAATTTCTAAAATTACAAACTGATGAATAATCATTCTAATTCCTGCTTCTTTTGTAAGAACAAGTCACTAGAACTTGTATCACCAAAATTAGGCACGACACAAGCAACCAGGAACAGTTGACTTTTTAGAATAAAAGATCTTGACTCCGCCAATTTGTCTTTTGTCTATCTTTTAGATGTTGGAGATAAAAAATATATTTGTATATATATTACTGAATAATCACCATCTAGGACATATTACTGTAGCTATTCTTTTACCCAGAAAACAACAATCATTTTATATAAATAGTCAAGAATTACATTTAATAAAAATCATTTTTATTCTTATCTAAAAACTATTCTTAAAAACTTAACAATCTACAGTGGTATTGATTCTGCGACTAAGTTACAAGTGCCAGAAAATACATATCAGATCGAGACTTGACATGTCGTTCCCAATCTGGGTTGGTCTTCCTTTTATTATTGTCAAGTCTTGATCTCTTATTTCTTTTCTGGCACTTTTAACTAAGTCGCAGAATCTGTCAGAGTTGAAAACCTTTAATTACTACAAAGTGCAACCAGTTATTGTTCATCCAAACTTTATAATTTTTGGCCCAGACAAAAAAGATGGTAAAATTGCAAAATACTTTATATTTTTTTTCCAAAAATATAGATTTTTTTAATGAATCAAATTGATAAAATTGCCGATTGCTAGCTAATAGCTTAGTTTATTTATTATGTTTTTATTAATAAATTTACAAAAAAAATGGAATTGATAAAATATGTTTTATTGTTTTTTTTTGTTTTTTATACTTCTGCTGGGGTCCAGCACCTGCTTCTTTTAGCGAAGAGAGACAGTCCCTGAAAATCTGAACAGAAACGTCCATTCCACAGGGACTATCCATGGCCATGACATTTTGTTTTGTCATGGCTTGCTCAATTTTCTTGCACAAGTTTGTCTGTATCTCAACAAATTCAAGAAAACACAATTTATTCTGTGCTGCAGCTCTTTTTCTTCTCTTTTCTCATTTTGTACATCTTGATTCTGAACAATAGGAAGCTTTTTGATTAATGAGTACTGAGGTTCCATCATCCTGCAGACCAAAAAATATGCTTGCACAAATGATTTGGGTCTGAACAAGAGCAGATTGACAGTATTTCTTTTTTGACCAAGAGCTCATACAAAACAGAATTGTCAGCAAAGAAGCAACACTTGTAGACCTTAAATAAATAGATAAAAGCACAATATTAATACTAGTTAATTCATTATATTAAAAGTAATTTTTTTATTAAACTGTCTTCAACAGCCTTGACCATACTAAGAGCATCTTCATAGACAATTTCTTGTGCCTTCTTCTTCTTTGCCTTTTCAGTATGTGTTAAAACAAGCTTCTTGAACCCATACACAATCCTGAGACCCTCTTGTCTATAGTCATGCTCTACTACTTGGGAGAGCATGTAAACTAACCAGTCAACCCAGAAGTTTCTTGATCTACCTAAGTAGTAGGTTTTCAAGATATGATGATATGATTCAATCCGATTGTTTGTATGGAACCTGGCCTTCTAATATCAGAAATAAACAGTTAATAAATCATAGAAAGTATATCTATATTAATCTACTTCTCTTCATGCCATTGACCACAGCTCACGCTTAATGTAACATTGTGTACCAATGTACTTAACAAAATTTCTGTGTTCAGAAAACTGGGAAACAAATTCCTGGTACTTCTGCTCAAAAACAAGCTTGCTCTTTGCATGCATAAGAAGGTTCAAACCCACACGGACAGCATCTCATTCCCTCTTTGACTCATGAGTGGCACCAGTAATTTTTACCTGTAATAACAAATAAATATTAATACTGATTACTTTTATTTTAAAGCAGCCATCTTAATATAAGTTACATCTTTTTTGATGTGCATCTCCCATGCCCGCTTGATGTGCCAGTGTCACAAAAGGGCCTGAACACTCTGCCCAAAGACATTCTTGAGAGCACTCATCTCAACAGAGCTGCAGTCAATCATTATGTGCTTGATGTGCAGGTCACAGTTTGACTAAACCCAAGTGACACTATGGCTAAAAAAATAGTAATATGTTACTACTTTGGTAGCATAACTGCCATTTTAGATAATAAAAAATAGCAGATTTGATTTTGTATAGTGCGATTAGAGGCACAGTTGTCATTTTGTTTAAAAGACTGAGATTTGTTTGTTTTCTTTTGTTTTTTTTTGTTTTTTTTTGTTTTTTTTGCTCCACTGTATCTAATACCAGTATATTCCCTTGCTTTATCTTTGCCGTATTAAATGAATCATTTATTAAATTGAATTGAAATGAATTGAAATGAATTGAATAGAATAAAATTTTGTTTCACTTTCTGTTTTATTATAAGATAGCAGTACTACTAAAAACCCATCTATTAGAACTTGCAAAAAAGACATGGTATTATTTGGCTACTGCAGAGATATGCAGTAAAAACCCTTTATCCCAAATATATTTCATGTGTCTCAAGTATTTCGATATAGACTAAATGACCTTCTTTAATTCTTACTGGTTTCTAAAAATATACTAATGTTAGAGAGAAAATAAATAAATAGACATAATAATGTAGTGTCTACCTTTATGTAATATGCTTGATAGCTTCAAAAAATAATTTTTTGCTATAAATATATATATATTAGAAAATAATATTAACATGTAAGCTTCTTATGTTATTAAAGAGTGTTAGAGTATCTACAAGACAAGTGAAAAAAGCAGCAAGTATCACTTAAAAATATTACCAAAGAAAACCTGAAAAAAAATTTGAGTCATACAATATAAAGTCAAGTTGAATCTAGTTGAGAACTGAATGAGAATTGTTTTATAAACACAAGATGTATATTCTATCAAAGTACTTATATAGAATATAAAAATTATCAAGTATAATATAGCAGCATAAGAGTATTACATGTTTTTTTATTCTTTAAAAAAAGAATGTATTGTGCTTCATTCAAGAATTAACTATAACAATGCTACAAATGTTGTACATTAGTTTTCAATGCTGATAACTATATAGATATTAACCATATAAAAAAGGGTAGCACATCTTTATTTAAAGAGAAAGGAAGTAAAAAAAATAATATAAAAACTAAACTAAAAATATGTTAAAAAATATTTTGAACTAATCAAAACCTTCTACGATCTTTGGCTTCTCTTATATGCTGGCTCAACACTCATTTCTGTCAGAGAAGACCTTTATAAAAAAGTAAAAGATTTATATTAGTTTTGTATTGACAGCACCAAACCATCATAAACCATAGCAACTCACAGCACATTCACCATAATAGGCGACTTGCTACCATCTGTTTCTGACATATTGTCAGAAGACAATGAAGAATCATTTGCATCTTGCTGTGCCTACAGATTTTTTTTAAATGTTAATTAATATATATGAATGAAACCTTTTGATTAATAAACTTATGTTGTTCTTCTCTACCATTCTTCTTTTTTGCTTCTGGTTGTCACTTTTGAAGCTTTCTCGGAGAAGGCTTTTTGCACACAATATGCTCTTGCAGTTATAAATAGCAAAGCTGTTATCCTTCACCAGTCTCTTTAATTGCATCATGTATTACTTCCGGTGCTTTGCTGGAATTTCTTTCCATTCTTTACTGAAAGCAGGAAAGTCATTGTCAATCAGGTCATACTTGATGCTATGACTCAAGGTCTTAATCTGTAGTTGCTTCATTGTCAAATCGCTGCCAGAAAGAAGTACCAGTTGAGGCAAAGGTTGTCCTCCTGAAATTTCTTTGCAGCATGCTTTTCAGTCCTGTTTGTGAAGCAACTGCAACAACAAATTGCATTTCTGGGCTTTGTTTTTCCCTTTCAAATCGCCACCTGTGCCAATTACTTGGTTGCCAAGCTAGTCAAGATACTCAGTGAATTGAGATTTTTTTACAGACTCAGCAACACGTTCAAAAGCTACCAAAGAGGAAATTGTATGCTATAATATTAATAAGGCAAGCAAATGTACTAGAATATAGTAAATATGTCTTACCACTTTGCTCAATGATGCTTTGTTGCATTGTACTAAAGTCTTCTGCACTTACAGTTGGGGCAAATTGTTTGCTAAACTAATCTTGAAGCATGTGTACCATTTGCTTTATTTCAGCAATATCAATTTCAATTTTCTGACAGAGTTTATGAGTGTGGTGTTGATATCAGACATTTTTGAATTATTATTTTTTAAGAAAGATAAAGTGAATAAAAGTTGTACGTTTCATTATATATATATTTCATAATGTTTACTTGTTTAACTTTCTGAAAAAAGATATATCAACTTAATCTTAAACATATGGTTGCTACAATATTATTTTTTTAATTTTTGGTGCCATAATATTTTATCAATTAAAATAATGACATTAGTACAGATAGACTACATAATAGTAACACGATATTTAAATATCATAAAGTTAATTAATTGTTAATCATTGATCTTTTAAAGTAAATACTATGATAAGTATACTTATATTATACTTGTTGTCATTATTGATCAAGATGTATTTTAACTAATATCATCATTATTGTCTTTATTGTTGTATTCTCAATACAAGAATTTCTTTAAAAAAAACATTTTGTCTCAAAAGAAAAAGTATATAAACCTCTCTTTTACATTCCAAGAATATCACTAAATCTTCTTTACACTTTAATATCATATATTAAATACTTACTAAAGCGATTAATGTGTCTTTCTCTAACACCAATTAGCAGAGAGATAGATTATCTACACAAAGATATCAATGTGCTCAGTGTGCCCTGTCGTTTTATAATTAGCAGCAGCTTCAAAATCATAAGAGAGTCCACAGAGGTGATCATACAACAGTAGTTGTCATTGATCAGGTTATTCCACATGATATTGAAATGCAACATAATGAAAACAGTAGCATTGATGACAATGAATTCGTTAGTGATTCAGATTATAATAATCAATGTAATAATATCCTTAATTTATTTAAATACTTATCTGATATTGCATTATAGATTATGCCATAAATGCAATAGAGATTAACAAGATCATTTCATATAAGTGCGACTGTAGTTTTGAGAACAGTGAGAGTGAAGCTCACGTTTACAATAGCAGCAGAATTGGTAGCACTACCTTTATAAAAGCTGAGTTGATGAGTATTCATCTCTCTTAATTGATGCTTCAGCACAGAATTTTCAGGGCAGCTTATGGAGACATAATTCGATCTGTTAATACAATCATTTGAGATCACAATGAAATTATGTTGGGTAAAATAGAATATTTATGTTACCTTATACTTTAATTCCAAATTTCTAACACGTAGTGATGTCATTCCTTTTTTTTTAGAACCTGGGGCTAAGATCAGCCACAGCAAAACTATTAATGCTTTGCTTAAATCCAAGTCAAGTGTCAAGAACTATAAGTATGATGTCTGTCCTAGTAGTTGCTGATTATATGTGATTAATGACAATCAAGAATCTTGTGTTGACTGCAGCAAACTGCGATATAAGACTGATTCTAAGCAAAGTCAAACACCATTTGCCTGTATGAAGCTCATGTCAGTTAGTGATATGTTTTTTCAAATGCTGACTTATTCAGCTACAAGAGAACTCCTCCGTTACAGAGCAAACCAGAAATCTGTAGCTGGTCAGCTCATCAATATTTTTGATGGTGACAGTTACAAGCAGTTAGTGTAGCAAGACCTGTTCTCAAATCCCAACAATATTGTGATTATGTTGTATACCAATGGTTCTGTTAACTAAAAAAAAGACAAGAGTTTGTAGAGCATTGTTCATGCTGTTGTATTTAATCTTGATCCATCAATAAGATAATCAATCAATTAATATATTACTTTCAAAAAAAAGTTACTAATAAAAAGCTTAGATACATAAATAAATATCTCTTGCAACTGGCAATCTTGTCTGGTCCCAAGAAGCCTACCCACTTAGACTTTTTTCTGATACTAATCATCAGTGAAATAAAAGATCTTGAGATACACGGCTTGGTGATCAAGAGCAATATAATTGAGGTTTGTTATGCCAAGATCCACTTGTTGTTTGCTTCTGGTGACATCCTAGCTGTGACTGACATGGTGCACATTGGCTCACACACCAGTTTGTTTGGTCGCTGAATCTGCAAAACAAATGGAAAAGCTCTAGACAACAGATGGCATGTAATGTACTTTGAAGATAGTTCTGCTCCTTTGCGACCTTTGGAAGATTTCAAAACCAACAAACCTGTAAGTATATAACAGTTTAATTAGATTTTTTCTTATACTAAATAATTGCTTATAATAGATAAAAAATATATATCAACTAACCATCTTTAGTGAGTTGTCAACCTTTTTTGAATCTTTTTTCTTTGCACTGAATGAACTTCATTTAGTTGCAAGAGGAATTGGAAAGCACATTTAAGACTTGATCACTGTGTCTCTTACCAAGAGACAAAATGTTTTATATCCGTCCAGATGATACCCTCTCCATCACAGAATATCTATTCTTCATACAAAGAACTAATCTTGTGACAATTGGTAACTGTATCACAAGTTCAAGACCCTATATACCAGTATCATTTTAAGACAGTTTTGATAACATCTTTTCCAAGATTGATAATACTCGTGCAGTTGATTGGCTTGACTTTCTTCTGTGTATTGTTTCCACTCTTGTTGTTTCATTCTTGCCAAACTGGGCTGTGAAAGCTGCGGTGCTGTCACTTGTCAAAGGTTGTGCACTGGCTTTGCAATGAACATTGACTTTGGAGTTGCTGGATGAGATAGATATGTAAGTCATAATGTCTCTAACACTATAGTACTATATACAAAACTAATCACAGCTTTTTTTTAAAATAATAATAATATGATATATTTTTCTTATATACAGTAAAAAAAATTGGACTCTGACTGATTTCTTCAAGACCTAAAAGTGTTGTTGGAAATGACAAAACTGAATATATTATCAGTTTACTTTGTAAAGAAGCTGTTTATTAACAAAGTAAACTGACAACATATTCAGTTTTGTCATTTATGACAGCACTTTTTAGGTCTTGAAAAAATGCAGTGTTCGAATTTAATAGCAGAGAAAAAAAATATTGGCCCTCGATTATTCATTTCATATGGCAGACTGAGAGAATTGATCCCCTAATATAGTAACATTATGTAGTACTTGGTGTTTGAAACATATTTTGCTGTGAGTATATGACAATGTGACTACATAAGATTCAATATTTGGGATTTTTCTTAAGTTTGTGGACATTTAATTCCATTTTCTTATATTGGTATTTGAAATATAAAAATTGGCACAAAATTCAAAATTTCTGATTTAAAAGAAAATACACTATAACAACAAAAATAGACATTTTAAATACTGGCACCACTATCTATCACAACAAGTCCAGAAAAAAACTATATCTCATAGTGTCTTCAGACCAGTGTAGTACTATCTTGTACAAATATTTTTTATTATCAAGCAACTAGATCCACTTTGATGTTACTCCACTTGATCAATGAAGAGAGTAATTAGTATCTTTTCTAAGCTGATTAAGTCTAAGTACAAGGGTGACTGTAATGTCAGTTTTCTTGTGGAGCAATTTATATTGCAGAACTATGTCAACATGGCTATCAGTATTCAGAACGAAATTGATCTTATTCAGCCCAAGTCGTATGGTAGAGAAAGTTATATGAATCTTCCTAATAATTCTAGTGGTGCACAGTTATGAAAGTTATTTCATCGATTTGCTCATTTGAACAATGATTTGGTAGAAGGTGTAAGAAGCCCCAGTGTAAAGGACACCTTAACTAGATACTATTGACAAAATTTGGGCTTGATTATTTCTGACATTGGTGATTTTACAATTGTTGCTGCTGGTTGTTTATGGATGAATTCGATTGTGTATTCACCTTGCATGTATCAACAAAGAAGAATTGAAAGAAGTCATGATAATTATTACGTGATGTTTACCTGTCCTTACAGAAAATAAGTATATCATTTTTCAATATATAATCAAAAGTTGCTTACATTATATTTATTTATTTACTTTAGCAACCATAACATAATTGTTTACAGCTGGCTTGTTGGTGCAGTGATATTCTTCTTCCAGCATAAGAATTCACTTGGCTATCTTTGTTTCCTTGCTTTTGTTGAAGTAATGAAGGAACATGACGCAACTGCCCACAACTCATCTGTACCAATTATCAAACAGCAGCTACAAAACAGCTCAACAGGTTGCTAAACCCAACCCACATATGCAGTAATAAGTGTCAATGATATTTATCATTAAGTTGGCCTTATACAATACCTACCAAATGGAAATTGGTTCTGTATAATTGCATCTTATTATGTTTTCAACAATAATATGTGTATTACAAAGGGCAACCTTTTTATTGTATAACTTTTTTTTATTCTTTATTTTTTATATGCTCTATATACCCTATATTTTTTATACTTTCTATATCTCTCATGTATTTAATATTCTTTTTTTTATATAGCTTATGTTTTTTTTACTTCTTATATGCTCTATGTTTTCTATTTTTTTTATTTCTCTATATGTTCTATCTTTTTTTATTCTCTATATATGTTATATTTGCAGAATCTGGGATATAAACTAACTGACTTAGAAATCCGTGACTCAAGTCAAAGTAGTAATCTGAAACAACACCAACAACAAGTAGTTGTTATCCAAGAGCCAATACACTTCCTTAAACCATTGTGGACAATATAACATGAAAATATTTTCTTAAAAGACAGTAACAACAGGAACGAATATCAAGGAACAAAAGATAAATTTTTCTAAGTGAAAAAGATATAAAAGAGATAGAAAACATCAAGCTAGAAACAGCATCTTTCAACAGATACAACAATTTCTCAATAAACTACCATACAAAAGTCTCACTTTATTCATCGTCTCCATATCATCTCATATCTCTTCAATCTCAAGTTTATTATAATCAATCCAAAATACTTCAATATATCTTATGTTTTTTTTATTCTCTACATGTTCTTTATGCTATTACGCAATTTAAGTTGAAATAAAATTGTTAAGTGAACAATAAGAAGAGTGTATCTTTTTTTAAAAAAAAAGTCTTAGTTTAAAAAAATAAAATAATGACAGTTATAATTCTATTTCATTCACACATTCCATAAAAAATTAATACAAATAAAACTTGACATCTTTAATATTAAATAAAACTTATATTTCAATACTTAAAGTGGTTATTACAACTTACAAACACTTTCTAGACTATTCAAGACATTGTACAGCAACAAAAAAACAGATTTCATGTTACTTTTTTAAAATTTTGTTAATAACATTGCTATCTTACCAAAAACTGTGGAGAAATTATTGACTTTTGACTAGAAAAATGGCAGTAATGTGCCTATTTTGGGCACAGTTGCTACTCCTATAGCCATAGTGTGAGCCATTGTCTCAAAGTCGAAGTAAGCTCAGCATTGGTGATAAAGAAGCAAACTGGGACACTTTTGTTCATAATGTTGCTTCTTATAATAATTGTATAGAGATACGAGTGCTTGCCTGACCCCACCAAAGACTTGCATGTTTTATGAGTGGAGTCAATGCACCACTCATCAGCTGCCTCAATAATTTGCTTGGAAATTATTATTATTATATTGCAAGTGTTTATTAAATCAAACATTACCTTCTTTTGCCAAGGAGAGATCCAGGAGAGCAGAGACAAGTCATTGCCCTTGTGAAACTTCATGTGGACATGACATCCCTTTTAATTCTTTAAGAGTAACATCTATTTCTCTACACTGGTACGGTCAACAGCATTTTGTCTGGACAGCTCGTTCAGCTGATCATTGATGACGTTCTGCATATCATTATAGTTGATGCACAGAGACATTGGGAAGCTGGAAATGACAAGACCAGCTTCAAGCTACAGAGTAAAGCAGTTAATAAATTAAATAAAAAAAATTTATTTACTGCCTCTTCCAAGCGCCAAGGATCAACATGAAGCAGAGTTTTAATTGTTTTCCAATCCATGTTGTTATCTACGAGGGAAACAATCTACTGCTTCATTTCAGCCGGAAGTCTGGAACAGATCATATTCTGGACCTTTTCAGGCTGGTGAGTATTGTGTTGCTACAAGTAATCAATTGAAACCTGTTCATCATGGAAGGTTTTCTTAGTGATCTTGACCTTATGGCCATTTTTGATAGATTCCATGCAGACTCTTTTGGTCTTGGGCTTGTTATCAGCCTTCTTATTATGTTTTCTTGGCAGGCCACGATAATTGCATGCCAAGTACAATGTCTGCAAAACGTCTTTTGGGATGCTAGTGCTGTAGGCAGCCTTGAACACGTGTGTCTTTATAAAATTCTGATTGACATATCTTATTTTGTCATTTTCAAACCAAATGGCAAAAGCAGCTTCTTTTTGAAAGATTTCCAAAACCTTGGGGTTATTATACTCATATTCTGGAGCAATGCAAATCATATGCTCATTGTCAATGTTTTTGATAGAAAAATTAGTGTTGTTAAAGCTCATTATAAGTGAATATTTGCTTTGTTAAAATAAAAGTAATAATGCATCTGAAACTAATAAAAAAATAATAATAACAATAAAAATACAGCTTGTGCCAGACCTGCCACATTATTTCAGATTTAAGAAAAATATGACTGTCTCTATTTTGTAGTACATAAACTTATTGCCTGTAGAGAATATTACTAAACAACAAGCATCTAAGACATATTATTGTAGCTATTCTTTTAGCCAGAAATCAAAAATCATTTTATATAAATAGTCAAAAAATATAAATAATAAAAAGCATCTTTACTTCCTATCTAAAAACTATTCATAAACCTGATGATACCCAGTGATATTGATTCTGCAACTTAGCTACAAGTGCCAGAAAAGAAATACCAGATTGAGACTTGACAAATCAATATCACTACAGATCGTCAAGTTTTACAAATAGTTTTTATATAAGAATAAAAACAATTTTTATTAAATGTAATTCTTAACTATTTACACAAAATGATTGTTGTTTTCTGGCTAAAAGAATAGTCACAATAATATGTCTTACATGGTGACTATCCAGTAATATCTCTACAAGTATATTCCTTATCTCCAATAACTAAAACATAGACAAAAGACCAATTGACGAAGTCAAGATCTTTTCTTCTAAAAAGTCAACCCTTACTAGTTGCTTGTAACTTCTAATTTTGGTCACCAATGTCTACTCTGAAATTACTTCCCCCTGGCTTTGTTATTGTCTATGAGCACCTACATCATCAGGAGAAGCTAATGGATCAACTGCATCATTATAAATTTCTTAGTCTAAACGTTGCATAGCAGCACATCATGCTGAATGAGAGGCAGTTGGGTTGTACCATATATTGTTTGGGGCATTACTATTTCTCTTGTAGAGGCAGTAATTGAATGGTAAAATAGAGTAACACACCCTTTTTTAAAAAAAAATGTTTTTCTAAAATTCTGAAATTTTAATATGTTGGAGTTAGAATTTTAAAAATGAGACACATTTTTTATGAAATTATATTGCTATAGCCAATATAAAGATATTGTCTTATTTGAAAATATTATTATTTCTAATTAATTTATACTGCTTGTATATATAATTTAAATATTGTCATACAGCTATATTTTTATGTCGCGTGTAGTATTTAGTTGTGTATAGAAAATGTACAAGAAAAGATAAATGTATGTTGGAAGAGGAATTGAAAAGAGGAATTGAAAATTTGGGTTCAATATCAAATAAATTAAGGTGATAAAATAGTCTCTTTGTTATCAAATAGACCAGTTAAAGAAATTAAAAAAGAAACTAACACTAAGATAAGAGTGCAAATAATTTGAATGATTAGAGAAATAGTTAAACTAAAAGAAGTGAAGTAAATAATACTAATTCTAAAGAGTCAACTATGGAAAGAAAATGTTTACTAGAGTAAAAGGTTTAGCTAAAGAGAAATTTACTATGATAAATTTATTAAGAGATAAATAAAAGAGAAAAGTGGGACAAAATAATAAAATAAAAGGGGGTTGTCAAGTCTTCATAGAAGACTTGACAAAAAAATAAATAAAACAGAAGAAATTTCACAAGAGAGATCAGAGATAATAGACAGCATTTTGAAGAAAACTTGTATCAGAAAAATATAACAGTTGTTTATTGATTGATTTTAGAGAGATATTTATACTACTTTATGGATAAAATATATGAAAAAAATAGGCTACATAAAACTCAATGAGATAATCATAAAAAATGTAAAGAAAAATAACTATATAAATATTCCATCATGAAAGAAGAAATAGATGAAGTTATAATATATAACTATAAGAAAAAGAAAATATTGGAAAGAAGTATGTTATAAATAAAGGAAAAACTATTCAGTTAACAATTTTGGTATAGTAGTGTTTGAGAGGAAGCATCACATTCAGTGTACAGGAATAAAATACAAAGAAAAGGGAGAATACAATTTCAATAAAAATAAAGGAGAAAAGATTTTAATTTTCAGAAAAATGGTTTTTGGAAAAAGGCGATTTTGTGAAAATGAAAGAAAGAAATTAAAATTAAAATTAAAACTTTGAAGAAAAATTAAAAGAGGTTTTCAAGAATGTTTGAACTTGGTTGAATATGATTTTTGGGCTAAGGTCAAAAAGGTCATCACACCACCACTGCAAAAACCATTGGGAATTATTATAATAATAGGTTTTGATTATCAGGATATTTTGTCACATAAAAATGAATTACTTGTAAATATTAAGGAAATCATAGTTGACAAGCTATTGAATAAAGTGTCAAAAATAATTGAATATTATCTTATTCCAAAAATAAAAACCAGGAGTTTAGGTATAATGTCTGTGTATCAACTGTTCTTGGGGATCAATTATATAGACTATTCCAAATGCAGAACAATGTATTATCTACTGCTGATTACACCTGTAATTTGATGTAGGCCTTGTTTTTGTAATAACAGGTGTAATAACAGGGCACTTCTTTAATGTTTATTGGCTAAATGGATCGAAGAAAAAATTCTCATAGATGCAAATGCTAAGCATTAGTTACTCAATTGGATATTGTTTTGTTTTGAAAAATGGTTTTTTATTTGTTTTTATTTTGGATAAAAAAAGCCTTTTTTTTGGCAATAATAATGATTCTATATAGTATTACTATTAAATACACTAATCTGTTATATTGTACTTCTTATAAATTTTGTTTCAGAATTTTTTGAATTAATAAACTCGGATAGTGCGTATATATGCTTACTGAAGCTATTTGATTAAAGGGAGTAGAAATATACTTACATACTGTTAGAATAATTTGTTAATAATGGAATAAAACACAGATTTATATTATCAAAAGCTAAGAGCCGATGCGTCATTCAAGTATATATTACAAAGAAAGAAATATAAAACATATACATACATATTTACTAAAGGAACATGTCTTGTCCTTAAGTACCAGTCATACAAGAATGTGAAGAATCATTTCAACTATAAAAAAGGAGAGTGAGAATGCTGATATAAAAAAACAACACAATAATAAAATGAATAACACGTACCTTTATATTCTTTAAATGATTTGTTTTTATTGACCATATATAAATCAAGGGTGAGCTATATTTAAAGTAGATATTAGATATTGTTTTTAATACTGGGAAGAAGATGTTGATATAGATATATACGTACATGCCACCAATATGTTTTTGTGTTTTTTTTGTTTGCACCGGTTATATCAGAGAAATATATGTAATGGCTATTTAAAGTAATTTATAGTTAGTAAAATAATGATATATTTAATGATAAAGTACCTCTTGTATAATGAAAGACATCTGCATCATATGTATATATTAAGGGTGCCTAAAGTGAAACATAGTAAGATTAAAAGAGTGTTATTTTTATTAATATTATTAAAGAGTAGAGAAAAACAGAAAAAGGTGGGAAAATAAAAAACAGTGTTTGAAAAAGCCGTAGACCCTGAAAAAGTTATTAGACTGTTTCTCTTACTTTGAAAAAAAATTGTCTACTAATTATAGCTTTATATGTTTCATAAAACAATTGTTACTTATTATATACCTAAAGAAGTTGTTTTCTAGCTCAATTTTTTTCAAAATAATATATTTCAATCTCCTCGATCATTTAAATAAAAATGTATTTACACACTCATACACTTGCTCAACTTTCTCGCTTAATCATTAACATAGTTGTTTAATCACTCAATTACTCTACAATTCTTTACGTGTAAAGTACTCTCTTAAAAATTTATTAAAATAGAAATATCAAGCAATATATATCAGAAACTTATTATTTTATTATATAAAAATACAGATAATGGCTCCAAGAACTAACATCAACCAGAATGCACGTACCAATGGATCAACATCTAGGCCATTGATCAACGCAGTCAACACTGGGCGTATAGAATTGTCAAATCCAATGATTGCTCCTAGACCAGAAAATATGTCAATTCCAGTGTCAGAGTTTAATGATGTAGTCAGACTTCTCACTACACTCAATGACAAAATGACAGCCATTAGTTCCGATGTTAGTGAATTGAAAGGTAATTAAATACAAACTATATTGTTTTCCAATAGACTGACTTTTTGAACAGTACAATGCCAGGTGGGTGCTCAATCAACTGGCATGCAAGCCGTTCTGGATTCTGATATGGATCCTCAGGACATCATAAGCAGCTCAAGACACCCAAAGATCTCAGTAAGCTCAAATACTAAAATTATAAAAACAATCTCCCTTTAAATCTAACATCAATATATCTTTAATAGAGTATTATTTGGGGGTGGTTAAGAGATATTAATCTTAAAACAGATGATTTGGAGTTAATCAGAGAGAATGATGATAAACCAACTTGGGATGTCAATGTTGGTTTGTCTGACAAGTTTAACAAGAATCTTGCAAGTGATTTGATGCTTTACATTTGTCGTCAACCTGTAGCAGCCATGGTACCATCAAAAGAGCTATGTGGTATAATTGTAAACAGCTATTACAATTGCTTGGCTGCTAGTAAGCTTATTGAAGAAGACAGACAGACAAACACTACCTTAAACAGAAGAGGAAATAGAAAGACTGCTGTAAGCATTTCTATTTATAATAATTCAATTTTGACAAGTATACTTAAAATATTATATATATCGTAGCTTAATAAAAGGAGAAAAAGAACATACACAAAGCATAAGGATGCCGTCACTGAAAAGTTTAATCAGGATTATAATGGCGTTTTTTACAGAGACGCAATGTCTGGTGATGAGACAGAAACCAATACTTCTGTTGTTGCATCTCGTCCTGATTGGCATAGTGATGAGGTAATTTTTTATATAAAATGGTTTTTCTGTTGTTTGATTCCTGATGTATATATGCATTTATAGTTGAATACCATGTTTGACTTTCTTGATGAGCTCGCCAGAGATGACTTGGGAAAAAGAGCAATGCAGTTGAAGTCGCGGAGTCATGTGTTAGTACACGAGACAATTCCTCGTGGCTTGGTCACAAAAATGCCTACGTGGTCAAAACGCGTATAATAAAATTTCTGTCTTTTTAGTTGCACTCTTTATCACATCTCTTTTTATGTCTATGAACTATGTTTTATATTATTATTATTATTTTAAAAAAAAGATAGAGTATTTTATTAAGTGTACAGCTTTCTTGGCAGAGGAATAACAACGACTTTTGCCGCACCACTACCAGACACATGACTTCCAATTGCAATTGGCGACAAGATGCGGTGGACAGGCAGAATGTTGTTGTAGTCATACTTCAGAAATTCTGGCTCATACAACTCGATGCCCTGCTTGATTCTAGGTTGATGGCAAGGAATTTTGTACTACTCAACGAAGGCAAATACGTGTTGGGGGTTGTGACAAGGGGAAAGGTTGGTGTGCATGAGGTTTGGTGTAAAATCGTGCAAGAACAAGTACTTAATACGACCAGCATATCTTTCCTCAGAGTCTCCACTTTTTTCAATAAATTTCGCTTGTATATGTGATCCTCTCACGACCAAGCCTTCTCCACCTGTGTAAACTTGTCCAAGAAGATTGATGGACGAAATCTTCTGGATTCAGTCATTCACAAACCAACAATTCCTGATTGTTGTCTTGGCACTGCAAAGAGAATCATCGTCATACTCAATTTTATAGAAATTGAGCAGACAATCATACTCGGATTTTCTCATTGTTGTTGGTGGCTTCAAACATAATGGTAGAGTGGAAAGAGGTAGAGGTTCGTTGCCAAATGTTTGCTTTGAAGACTTTTCAGCGGATTGTAGGAACGCTGGCAAGTGAAAGAATGCCGGTATCAAAGGATGTGGCGAAAGTGCAGGATTATAGATTTTACGGCCAGACAGCTTGAGAAAGAGAGAGAAGAGTAAAGGGCTGGTAACATTTCTGAGATATGCTTGACAAAAGTCACCATTGTAAGAACTCTCAAGAAACCTTTTCATGTAGGTATTCTCGAACCCACTCTTCTGGTTTGTCTCAAACCCTTTCAATACACCATTATAGTGCTCAAAGCTAAATAGCCAAAATCCGTAAATTGGCCCAAAGTTCTCAATTGTTTCTTTTAGGTGGAGATGGAGATGCATGTTTTGTGTGAATACATCTGGTTTATGAAAGTCTTCACAACCAACACAGAACTCCTCCAAACTTTTGTGAGCTTTTTTGATCTCATTTTTGGTGATACTTGGCTTTGTCAATTCTCTGCATGCATCAACAAAATGGATCCAATTGCCAAGTAGATCATCTCGCAGGCATGTCTTAAGCAGAACAAGAGAGTATATCAGGCACCATGATTTCCACTCATCTGCCTTCATAAACGGAAATTTCTTTCCAATCTTTATCTTCAGAGTCATATATCCTACAGGGAGTACCATTCTATTGGCCTCTTCCTGCATCTCTACAAAATCTTTGTCATCAAGCAAATTGTTTGCAATCCAAATATCCATCATTCGTTTTGCAGTCCTGAGAAAAAGGTTGTGCATAGGATCGATAATGGTTGCACGCACTGGCTCAAAGTACACAAGTCAATAAAGCTCAGACCAACAAACATCATTCTCAATTTCCAATCGCTTTCTCTCTGTCAATGTCTTTGCATTCTTCCACAGGTTTGCATGTCTGCGATTTTCTTCTTTTGTGCGGCCTACCCGTTCCGAAAACTTAAGCCCAAAATAGTTTACAGCAGTGGTCCCATCAATACGAGCAAACTGATGATTGCATTTGTAGCATGCACATGTACTGTTGTGAGATGTAAACCCACACATCTTTCTTGCAGCAGGGATGTCACATGCAACCATCAACAGAGCATCTGAGCAGTTATATGTATCAATTGTGATACCTTTATACAATAGCATAAGTTCATCAACAAGAGGACAAAAATAGTTATTGATCTCGTTGGTGCTTGCTTCTTTAGGTACAGGCATTAATCCAACAAGAATGACATTTTCTGTCTTGTTCTGCTCTTCTCTCGGCAGATTGTTAATTGTCAGGTATATCGCACCATAAGAATATGTTACTCCATCAAATGGTTGAAACCAATCAATGTTCAGTGTCAATAGTAATGATTGTTCCTTGGAAACAAACTGGACACCATCCTCATCTACTAATTCGTTCCACATCTATCCATCATATACATCGAATAAAGTACCATTGACTTTTGGTTCATGATTCCATCTGTTGATTATACTCTCAAAAGAAGGACGTGTAAACATTTTTTTCAAGGTAGTTGTCAACGAGTTATAAATAAATGTGCACTTTGAAATCATAGCGTTCTTCATACTAGACTTATAGAGATCATTCTTACAATACGCCTTACTACCAACTCTTTTGAAATTGCAGGATGTATGTGTGTTGTTGCTGTAATTGTACAATGTGTGACAATTACTGCATGCTACATATTTTGATACGCCGTTTGTCAAGTCATTGTATCCTGTCATTTTCCTCAAACCCAGAATGCTTGTGGGAAGTCGGAAATCCTCTCCATAATGTTCGAGGATTGTATTTATGAATGTAATCAAAATTACTGTGTCTTCATCTACAATGAAGCTAGAAATAAATATCACAGTGAAAACCGCAATTACTCGATGCCAAATATTCTGTGGAAGGTTTTCTGTAGACTCTGTAAGTTATCATAAAATAATATTAATTTTTTGTTTCTTTAATTCAAATCTTTTTTCTTCAATCATAGTTTATTTTTAATATTTACCCTGTTCTTACTCTCTGTTCTGTTCTTCTTGCTTAAATTCATCCGACGACTCATATTCAGACTCATACTCTGAAGTATACTCCTCTGTTTCAAAAAGAGATTCTTCCACCAAAAGAGGTAAGTGGGTATTGACATACTGCTCTGGTGAGGGTGCACCAACGGAGTAATTATCATCTATTGGTACCGAGTTTAAATAGAGTGCGCATTGGGTATAAAAAATAAAATACTATTACATTCAATATGTTCTTCAATTTGATCTACGTCCATATCAGCTTCACCAGAGTTTACTTTGGCTGTCAAAACTATTTGTTCTAATGGATTAGAATACATCATATAAATAAATGAAAAATTGATAACTTAATTTACCATTAATGGTTTTATCTATATTCCTGTCATTATCATTCTGGGCATAACGCTTGGCAGTTCTTTTATCTGTCATGGTGTATCTGAGAGGATTGCAATTGCATCTTGTGCATTTGCAACGAACTTCATCGGGATTGGCAATGGCAAACATTTTTTCACTTAATTTTTTTTAATAATAAAGGAAGTGTGTAACAGCCGTTGCTTATTATAATTGTCTTTATTATTTTGAAAAAATTCTCTCAGGGACTCTGATATATATTAGGCCAATACACTGCAAAAGACCACTGATTTTAGTTTCTGAAAACCTGCAAAAATTTTACTACAATTTTTGATTTTTGATTTTTTCAAATAATTTCTATTTTTTTCTGTTGTGATTTCAGATCGCTCTTTTTTAGCTGTAAAATCACATTACCGTCATTTTTTTTGGCCATAAAATTACAAAATTGGGTTTTTTTTATATTATACACTTCTTTGATATAATTCTAAATTACACTGAAAAAACACTTATACAAAAGTTAATATAATATTTAATAAAAATTATATATATTCTTAAGGTTTCACTTTTTCTATTTCAAAATAAATCATTTAAATATTTTTTATGTATTATAAATGTGAATATAAGAACAAATATTTAATCAATATATTTCAAGGGAACGAGACAAAAGGTTGTGATTTCATTTTTACTATGGCAATATTTTTGTGTGATTTTTCCCTTTGATATATGGAACTAAAATATCAGATTTTTTTATTTCACATGTTGTGAGAGGCGAATGTTCCATTTTTGGATTATTTTTCGTCATGGTCAAATCATCGCCATATCAAATATTATAATTCTAAAAAAAGACTTTTAAAAAAAATTGCGTACACTTTTAGTAATGTACGCAGTATTTGACTTGGTTAATGACTTAACGATATATGAGTATAATTATGATGATATGTGCGGTAGATGTATCAAAGAATTACTTGGCATACTATAGTCATGGCATGGAGCAGTATTTTATCTATTTATATTTTTTTGATATATAAAGACCTTGATCAAGATCTCTTAAAATCTATATAATTTTTTTATAATTTAAAACAATCGACATGTCCAATAATCAAAAGAAAGACAGTTATGTTATCTGCAAATGTCCAGACTGTACAAAGTTGGATAGCTGTGGAAAGAAACAGAAAAGACAAAATGCACAATGACACTATGGGAAACATATAGTGCCTGTTGCCAAAGACAATGCAATGGGTAAATAACAAGAATAACTCGAGCTGTACATGTAAAATTAATATAAATTAATTCATAAAATAGATGTTCCTGAACAACATTTTGACGACATGGAAGTAGATAGTATTGACAGTGACAATGACAATGATTATGATTATGAAAACGAAGGCGAAGGCGAATATGAAGATGAAAATGAAGAACAAAACATTGAATTTGATCAAGAAGGTAAGAAAATAAAATAAAATAAATGAACAAAATAATAATTGAAACTGATATATACTTTTTTTATTTTTTTATTTTTTATATGATTATAATTATAATTATATTTTTATTTCTACATCTTTACAACAATTATTTCTTTCCAGTTGACTTACCTTTGTCCCAAGAAGAGTCCATATTTACTGCCAAAGATACAATTACAGGAGCATTTGTGGTTGATGGCGATGAGATTGAAGAAGACGATACCAGTTTTGATTTTGAACAAGAAGAAAACTTTGATGAGACCAGTGGGACCTCAATAGTAGAATCAGGTATGAATTAATACACTATAGACAATTAATCAATATATTAATTTAAACTAACTTAACCTTTATCTTCATAGTTCGTCCTTTGTCTTTTGATAACATGCCCTTGTATATCTGCTTTGTTGCAGTATTCATTGTCATATTTCACTTGATCTTTTTGGTGGAAAGCAGTGGATCGATTCTCATTGAATTTTGTAATACTCTACTGTCTCTCTGTGATATGTCTGGCGCCCTTCCACTGACGATCAATAGCTTGAAGCATAAAACAGGATTTAACATGGCAACAGACGGAATGACAGTATACATTGCATGCTCACAATGTCATTCAATTTATCCTCTGGAAACAAGTCAAAGAGTCTGTACATTTAAGAAATTCTCTCAATCCGCCATTTGCAATAGCAATCTCTTTAAAGTGTCAACTGGAAATTGTTCTCTTCCAGCAAAAGTATATCCATTCAACTCTCTGAAGTACGCCTTGCAACAAAAATTCTCCAAGCCAGATTTTGTGTCCAAGATCAATTTGTGGAGAAATCGTCAAATAATTGAAAACATCAAACTTGACATTTTCGATGGTGCAGTTTGGAATGATATTAAAGACATCAATGACAGACGGTTTGTTGATAATAGCCGATCTTTAATGTTGACTCTGAATATCGATCGGTTTCGGCCATTTGATGGATAAACACATTCTAGTAGTGTGATATATCTCTCTATCAACAATCTCCCACGGAGTGAACGCCTTAAGTCTGAAAATGTCATTCTTGTTGGTATGATACCTGGGCCGAAGGAAGCAAGTACTGACAGCATGAATCATTACTTGAAGCCGCTTATTGACAAATTGTTGGAGATGTACATTGGTGTAGAAATGACAGACTCACAAAATAGAAAGATTGTTGTTCGTGCTGCATTGATGTGTGTTGCCTGTGATATCCCTGCCGCTCGCAAAACCTCTGGATTTACTGGCCACATGAGCACATGCGCCTGTCACAAATGTCAACGACAATTCACGACTATAAAGAAGACCAGCAAGCTTGACTACTCTGGATTCAAGTATAGCAATTGGGTGAGACGCACGAAGACAATGAATCTGGAACACGCTGTCAGCTGGGCAAATGCATTGAACAATACTGAGCGAACACGCCTAGAAAAAGAAAACAGCACTCGGTGGTCAGAGCTTCATTGGTTATCTTACTTTGACCCAGTCCGCTTTACAGTTATAGACCTGATGCATAACCTCTATCTTGGAACTGCAAAGCGAATGATTCAGATATGGCGCGAGTGTAACTACATCAATGAAAAGAATCAGTTAACTATGCAAGAGCTTGCCAATGATATTGTTGTACCTTGTGGATATGCGCATATAACAAAGAAGATTGCTGATGGGTTTTCGTTCATGAAAGCTGACAAGTGGAAGTCGTGGTGCATCATATACTCTCCATTTGTTCTGAAGCATGTGCTCCCAGCCAAGAATCTTGAAAACTGAATTTTGTTTGTTGACGCATGCCACTTACTCACAAAACCTTCGATCAATGACAAAGAAATAGACGAAGCCCACAGTAAACTCCAATTGTTTTGTACAAGATTTCAGACACTGTATGGAAAATCGGCTGTGACACCGAATATGCATCTACATCTTCATCTTGGCAAGTGTGTTCATGACTTTGGGCCAATTTATGCTTTCTGGTTATTCAGTTTTGAGAGATACAATGGTTTGTTGAAGAATATCAAAACAAATCAAAAAGGCGGCTTCGAATCAACAATGATGAAGAGATTTTTGGAGAGAACATACATTGGCAGCTTCATACAATCTTTCGTCAACCATCTTCCCCAGTTTGCAATTGACTTTCTGCATCGCATTTCAAATAGTCAAGATCAATTAGCAGCATTGCATCCATCTTCTACTGCCAGTATCTTTTCTCTGTCTGACTTTGTTGAATATTCGTTAAACCCTCGTCATTCTGCTTTGGGTTGTGAGCTGTTGCCCCCTTCAGTGTTTCCGATTAAACTCGACCAAAGGATTACAATGTGCAAGGGACATTATGAATGTTTACTGGAGTTTTACAGACACGCATATGGCAGTCACAATCTTTTGGCCATTATTCAAACTGCGAGTCTAACCAGATTTTTGTCAATAACCAAATTGAGAAAATGAAACGGATATCTCTTCTTGGACAGAAATACTCTTCTGAATCTTATTTCCGTGCCTATTATCTTGAGAATAACAGTGAAGATAAAACAGTATTTCCTGGCCGTATACTGTATTTATTTCAACATTTGATAACCATCAACGAAACTGTCATCACCCATACTTTTGCGTTTGTTGAGTGGTACTCTAGTTATTCTTTGGAGAGTTACCAGTCAATGTTAAATGAAGGCATTGAGCTCTGGAATGAACCTTCTTCTGTACTTAATTATGAATATATTATTCCAGTATATCGTTTATATTCACCAATTGCAATTTCTAAATATAGGTTTACTATAACTAGTGAATTTAAATGTTTAGTAATCCCTTTACCCCAAAAAATAGAAGCTTAAATAATATTAATAAAATAGTTTTTGCACTCTTTTATCAATTTATTAGAAAATGTTTGATTTATTGTCTTATTGTTTCTTTGACCATGATGGCAGCTTGTTTGCCTTGGTCTTACTAAGCTGCTTATCTCTTATTTCTTTAAATTTATGCTTGAATGGACAGGTATTATTTTTCTTATCATGAGCTGCCTCATAATCCACATCAAGTTCATCAACAAACCTATCTCCCTATATGTCAATGTAAGTATTATTACACACTATCCAAAAAAATAGTTTTTTGTACTATACCTCTTCGCTTCTCCAGCTTGGGCAGAATCTCCAAAAAAAACTCTTTTCTGAGGACGAATCCTGTTCCTCTTCTTCTCTTTTGTCATCACTCTCAAGGTCTGACATGTAATCAGCATGGAGAATACTGTCAACATTCTTTCCAAAGCTGTTCACAAAGTGTACCCGACTGGCTTTCAAGGCAGATTGTCTTCTTTCACACGACTATATATAAATATATAATATTTCTAATTTAATATCACATCTAGTATATTGTGTGCATGTGTTTTTTACCTTTACACGTTGCTGACAAAGACAGGCCCGTCGATTCTCTTCCTGCTTCTTTTCTCCTGTTTTTTTTTCTTGCAACTTTCTGTTGCCAATGTGCCGCACAATCTTAGTTCAAAGAGTTGGTAAGTCCACTTTTTTCCCCTCTTCTTGACGACGAAGGTAATCAGTAACAGACTTCAGAACGAGTCTGTTTCCCTCACTGTTTTTATTTTCATTGGTATTATATTAGTCATACAATTTCTTTTTACTCAAATAATTGCGCAACAATTGCTATAATATAAATGTATATTAAATTCTATCTACATAAAAACATATTATGATTACTTACATCCAATGTTGGTTGATGTCCAGGCAACATGTCTTGCTCAACTGTATTACTAGCAGTGGCTTCGGCTTTCTCAGAAGATGTGTTCTTCAAAACAGTGTTTAAGACACTGTTCATGGTGTCAAGTTTCTCTTACACATCATGGATGTTACGAGTTCTACCTGACAAATCACTTTCAAGATTCAACCGAGCTCTCTTTGGTGCTAGTTGTCTTTGATTGCTCACTGTTCCCTGTGAGTGTTGCAACATTATCGTCCTTATATCATTGGTATTTCTTGGTGGACTTTTTTTTGATTTTTATAAAAAACGAAAATAAAATTAATATAAGAAAATTGAAGACTGCCTGGTTTTAATCTACCTTCCCACAGAAGGTTCTTCACCAAAAGCATTGTTAACTGAATTGTTATTGAGATTTTTTGACATTGTGAATAATAAGAATAGCTTGTTTTTTTTTAAATCCAAAGGGTCTATTTATATTATGTTTAATTTGGGCTTTAAGTTTTATTCTTTCTCAGAGAACACCATGATCTATTACGTAACAAGAACAGCTTTGAATGTTTCCACTCTTGTTGTGAGTATTTTATGTGTTTCTTTAATTTAATTTTCAATCCATGTTTTATTCTTATATTATGTATTAGTATTTGAATAATATGATTTTATACTATACTCTGTTTTTCATATGTATTAGCTGCTGGCATAGTGCAACTGCGTTTTCTTTCAATTCTAAGTTACAGACAAAAATTATTTTTTGATTTATTTATTTTTAAAAAAAACCCCGAATTCGTATTTAATAGAATAACCGCGCCCCTCTTTTTTATTTTCTCTTTCTTTAACCTGCTCTTCTCATTTTGTCTCTTTTTATATGTCTTGGTAAGCTTACTCTTAAGATCTCAACTTTTATTAATACTTTTGGCTTTTAGAATCATCTTAATATATATTAGATAAACAATACACTCAACAAGCATTCAAAACAGTACAGGTAATAAACAATCTCCTAACTAAAATGAAACACCTTGCTGACTAAATATTTTTTATTTTTAAAATGATAGGGCTTCTATCCATTTTGTAATAAAAGATATTTTGCTCTTGCCACTATATACTTTCTGGTATTGTCAGTCTATGAAAAGGTAATATATATATAACTCAATTTAAATAATGTAACTTATCAATTCTTCTTCTCAGATAAATATGTCACACCTTTTTTTCAAGTCATACTGGTTTGCCCCCTTTTACAAACGCGTGTCTATAATATGTAAGTAATTCAAGTGTCTTTACAATCAAAGCGTACATATTAATAAAGTTGTTTATTTTATTTCTTGCTTTTTATTTAAAAGAAAATATCAATCAAACGGATTTTTATTCTATCGCAAGATTTGTTATGAACTCCCATAAATGATCTAGTAAGTATGTTATTTCATTTTATTTCATAAAGAAACCTGTATTAATACTTCTGTATCTTTTTTTGCTCTAAGCTAATGTAGTTCCAAACAAATGTATTCTCCAAGAAAATACCAAGGATTTCATTTTCAATTAAAGAAGTGTAAAACCAAAAAACGCGCCGAATACATGAAACTGATAAGGTAGAGAAGTATAGTATAAGTTAGGTCATCCAATGTATTCAAGCCGTCCAATAAATGAAAGTATAACATGTATACAAGTCGTACTATTCGGATACACACTTTTAAAGAAGTATTAGTAGTCCATATTAAATAGCTAAATATATTTTCCAAACATTCAAAAATCAATAAAAACCATTTTTTCTATGAGATTCTATTTCAAATACGTCATCTCTTGATGATGTCAACAAGATCTATTTAAGTTTTTTTTACAATCATTCATTTGAATGCTGGTTCCAATCAGATTTCAGACTGATTCTAGGTTGATTTTAGTGAGGTCTATCTAATAATATCATATAATTAAAGCAAATAAATTATTTTAAGAGATAGAAAGTTCAAAGCCAATTCCATAACAAATAGAGTTTAAGTACAGTTTGAAGTTATGGGTGAATATATAATCAGAATTATAAACAATTATAACATTTCAAAAAAGTGGGAATTATAACTCTTAATTTATCTATTGATTTTAGTATCTATAATCTCATCATTTGGCTAACTAAATGAATCAATTTTTGTAACAAATACCAAACTATAATTGAACATAAACCACCAATTTTTGGAAGATTTAAACAAAAATTAAGCTACTTAAATTGGTTGTCTTTTGCAGTGATAATATGTCTTTAAATATATTCTCACTGCTAAACATAGGAAATGACCTGGGATGTAATTTTTTGGCTACTATTATCAATAATTTCAGATAAGTGGAATTCAATTATTTTAAGGTGTTTTTGTAGTGCACGTATCAGTGACATGTATGGTACTTGTATTTGTTGTAAATGTTGACAAGTAATGTTATCATGGTTTTTGAGATTTGAATGAGTTTGTAGATGTGAAATAACCTTTCTTTTCCATAAGAGAGAAAAGACAGACTCAAAAAAGAACATAGAATTAAATTAATAAAATCAATAAGAGAATAACAGTATTATTGATCAATCTCAATAGACTTGACTCAATATACTTGGATAATTAAATAAGTAAAATATCAACAGCATTAAATATTAAAAGAACTTGTTGTCAGAAAATAAGATGAAGACAAATCAATGTTTATTAAATACAAGTATTACGATATTTATAGTTTTACAATTGACATGTTAAATAATTAAATAAATAAAATTATAAAAAAAAATATAATGAAAGTTGTATAATTAACAATCTATTAAATGTGATTTGTTCTTTACTATCATTAAGTACAAATAAAATAAAATAATTATTAAGTTATAATCATGAAAATAATTATGCTTATACGAATATATAATAAAAATAATATTAATTTCAAGTTGATTCGTTCAGTTAAATATAATGAGAAAATAAGATAAAATGTATGGTTGCCTGAAGTTATTGTTGACAGAATGATGCTTTTTTGTTGTACTTATTGGTGTTTTGCTCTACAAATAGAAAAATTGCTTTCTATTCAGTCTCGGCTGCCATTGGAAAATCAAAAAAAATAATAATAGAATATAATATAATTTTTCTAGAATTATAAAGAATTCTACAACATCACTGCACTGCCGGACAACCGAATTTTTGTTCAACGCTAACACTTTTTTTACACCCCATGTCATAGACAAGTGGGGGACTATGGCCCAATGGACAAGGCGTCTGACTACGAATCAGGAGATTCCAGGTTCGACCCCTGGTAGTCTCATCTTTTGTTAAGATCGTTTTCGATCTGAGTTGTTCTTCCAATGCTATTGTTGTGGCTGAATTCTTGTCAGCCAATCAGGATGACGATTACACAGAATTCTCTTTTGAGAACGACGAACGAAGTGATTTGTCAAGTCTCAATCTGGTATTTCTTTTCTGGCACTTGTAACTAAGTCGCAGAATCAATAATACTGGGGATTATCAAGTTTATAAATAGTTTTTAGATAGAATAAAGATGATTTTTATTAAATATATTTTTTGACTATTTATACATGTGGTGATCCAGACACTCGGATGTTGGATTTATCACATATAAGAACATATTCATATTGGGATAGCGTAGTAGCTATCATCTTGTCAGTATAAAATATATATAAATGATTAAGTAATCAGCCCAATAATTATTACAGTTAGTACTATAGATAATATCTTAAAGATTGTTAAGATAATTATATCATACTGCCGGGTAAACTGTGTCAGATCGATATGGAGCTAATTTAGTAGGAAGTCCTAAAGCTCTAGTATAAAAGAGAAAAGAATAGCTAAGAGCTAAAGAAGTACGATTTATGACTTGATGTCATAATTGTAACACCAACACTAGTTAAGCAGTAAATACACTCTAATAACCAAATATAGTAAAGGAAGAAAGCCTTAAGAAACTAAGATGTAATGACAAGAGCAGATTGTGTTTTCTTATAAAAAGGGACACTTTTTATTTATGAATAAAGACAACTTATATACAGTCTCAAAGTATTTCTATACGTCTCTATTATCAAATATTTTATTTTTCTATTGTTTCGTACCTGAAATACCACAATACAAAATGATAATTGCTTTTTGGCTAAAAGAATAGCTACGATAATATGTCTTAGATGCCTGTTGTCCAGTAATATCTTCTACAAGTATATTCACCATCTTAAACATCTAAAACATATATGAAAGACCAATAGGCAAAGTCAAGATCTTTTATTCTAAAAAGTCAACTCTTACTGATTACTTATAACTACCAATTTTGTTTACCAATGTCAACTATAACAGATTTCCTTTTGCTCACAAAAGAATTAGAAAGCACATAGCTTAACAAAAGTAGAATAAAACCAAAACAGACATTTATAATGACTGAGTAGGTTTAGAAAAGATATAAAAGAGGACATTATTTCATTCAATAAAAGTTATCTATCTTTCTATCCTCTTTTTATTCTTTTATCTTCGTTTATATTCC